TTTTTTTTAGTAGAAACGGGGTTTCACCATGTTGGTCAGGCTGGTCTAGAAGTCCTGACCTCAGGTGATCCACCTGCTTCAGCCTCCCAAAGTGCTCAGATTACAGGTGTGAGCCACCGTGCCTGGCTAGGGAATTTGTATTATTATTATTTTAGAAAACATAAGACATCATAATATTAGGTTGTAGTCTTTCAAGATCAGGTACAGTTGTCCCTTGGTAGCAGTGATGGAATTGGTTCTGGGATCCCCATGGATACCAAACTCTGAAGATGTTTAAGTCTCTTATATAAATGCCCTAGTATTCGCATATAATCTATGTACATCCTTTCCTACACTTTAAATCATCTCTAGATTACTTATAATGCATAATACAATGTAAATGCTTTGCAAATAAGTGTTATATTGCTTGAAACTTGTACTCGTTTTTTTATTACTGTATTTTTCCCCAGTATTTTTGATCAGCAGTTAATTGAATCTGTTGATGCGGAACCCACAGATACCAAGGACTGTAATTCAAATCATAAAATGCACCCTAGGCAAAGTCTGCCTGGGCCTCTTCCTTGTGTGCCTGGTGGGCTCTAGGCAGGATCTGCTTTGCTCAATGGACAAAGTCAGCCCTGTCTTCAGAAAAGGAGCCTGGGAATTTCCATCTTTGACAAGCTGGAGTTTTCTTTTTCTTTCCATTGAGCCAGGGTTTCACTCCTGTTGCCCAGGCTGGAGTGCAGTGGCCAGTGCAGTGACACAGTCTCGGCTCCCTGCAACCTCTGCCTCCAGGGTTCAAGCGATTCTCCTACTTTAGCTGGGATGACACGCGTGCGCCACCATGCCTCGCTAATTTTTGCATTTTTTATAGAGTTGGGGTTTCGCCATGTTGTTTAGGCTGGTCTGGAGCTCCTGGCCTCAAGCGATCCGCCTGCCTCGGCCTCTCAAGCTGGGATTACAGGCGTGAGCCCCCGCACCCGGCCCAACAAGCTGGAGTTTTCTATCAGTCAAGTCTGGGAAGCACTCTGAAGGGTTTGTGAAATATTTGTTATTTGGCCTCTAGGAAGGCTCGAGTATTCGCTCTTAGGAGGATCGGCATAGCGTGGTGGTCATGGGAATTCTGGAGTCAGGTTAGGAAAACCTCGATCCAAATGTGAGTTCAGCAGCTGTGCCCATGGGACCTCCTGGAGTCTCATCTTACCCCATCTGTGACACGGGAGGCCGGGCGCGGTGACTCACGCCTGTAATCCCAGCACTTTGGGAGGCCGAGGCGGGCTGCTCACCTGAGGTCAGGAGTTCAAGACCAGCCTGGCCAATATTGTGAAACCCATCTCTACAAAAATACAAACATTGGCTGGGTGTGGTGGAGGGTGACTGTAATCTCAGCTACTCGGGAGGCTGAGGAGGAAGAATCGCCTGAACCCGGGAGGTGGGGGGGGTTGCGGTGAGCCGGGATGGCGCCACTGCACTCCAACCTGGAGGACAGAATGAGACTCCGTCTCAAAACAACAACAAAAAAAAACGGGAGCTGTCCCCCATGGTCCTTTGAGCAGTCTCGCGGCTGCGAGCCCCGGGCTGGGGCCTCGCTGACCCTCCCGTGCCCCTCGCAGATGCCCGTGCTGAAGCAGCTGGGCCCCGCACAGCCCAAGAAGCGGCCGGACCGCGGCGCCCTGTCCATCTCCGCGCCGCTCGGCGACTTCCGGCACACGCTGCACGTGGGGCGCGGCGGCGACGCCTTCGGGGACACCTCGTTCCTGAGCCGCCACGGCGGCGGGCCGCCCCCAGAGCCCCGGGCGCCCCCCGTGGGGGCCCCCCGCTCCCCACCACCGCCCGCCGTCCCGCAGCCCGCGGCGCCCTCGCCTGCCGACCCGCTTCTGTCCTTCCACCTGGATCTGGGGCCCTCCATGCTGGACGCGGTGTTGGGCGTCATGGACGCGGCGCGCCCGGAGGCAGCTGCCGCCAAGCCCGACGCGGAACCCCGCCCCGGGACGCAGCCCCCCAAGGCCCGCTGCCGCCCCAGCGGGGACCTCGAGCTGGACGACGTCATCGGCCTCTAGGTTCCCCCATTCCCTGCGCCTTTCCCGCCCGGCACCCCACTTCTGTATACATAAACGTCCAAGGCGTGTGCCCGGGCTCTGACTTTTCACTTTGCACGTGGGAAGGGATGAATGATAGGGTCCTGGCGCCTCTGAGAGCCGGAGGTGTCACCGGGAGATCTGGTCCGGGTCGGATGATTGCCCTGGGGTGGGGTGCGGCTCCTTTAAGAGAGCCCGGGGGCGAGGCCAGGCGGTGCCGCTTGCAGAGGCGGCCGCTCCCGCAGTCCCGTTCGTCAAATACTGAGCGCCACCGCTGGCTGCACTTGGTCCTGGGGCCGGGCCAGACTCAGCCACCGCAGAGCCCGCCGAGGCGGGGCTGCCGATTGCTGTAGCCCCGGGAGTCCTGGGCCTCCACGCCTCGGGTAGACTCCGACCGGGCGGGGCCGCCCTTTACTCTGGGAGCGGCTGCAGAGGGAAGTGTCTGGGAACCCTTTTAGAGCAGTCGGGGCCTGGTCTCCGTGGGGGAAGGGTCCGCTGGCATCTTGGTTCTTTAAGGTCCCAGAAGGATGGGGCGAAACGTGCAAATGATTTGGACTGAGGGGCCAGGTTCTCTTAAGTTTCCCTGAGGGACGCGGCCGCAAATGTAAATGGCTTGGACTGGGGGCGGGTCCAGGTTCTTTAGAGACGTCCCCCTCAGGGGCGGGGCACACATGTATCACCAGGAAAGGGGCGGGGCACCACATGTAAATTACTTGGGGAGAGGCACACATGTAAATCACCCGGAAAGGGGCAGCACAAAAGGATCACCGGGAAAGGGGCAGGGCACGCATGTAAATCACCTAAAAAGGGACGGGGCACACATACAAATCACTTGGGAAGGGGAGAGGCACACATGTAAGTAACCTAAAAGGAGCGGGGCACACGTAAATCACCCGGAAAGGGGCGGGGCATTACATGTAAATTACCCTGAAAGGAGCGGAGAACACATGTAAATCACTTGGGAAAGGGAGAGGCACCCATGTAACACACCTGAAATGGTCGGGGCACACGTAAATCACCCGGAAAGGGGCGGGGCACTACATGTAAATCACCTAAAAAGGGGCGAGGCACACGTAATCACCAGGAAAGGGGCGGGGCATTACATGTAAATCACCCAGAAAGAGGCAGTTCACACGTATCACCGGGAAAGGGGCGGGGCCAGGCTCCCAAGAGCTCCGGGAGACCCAGACGGCCGCAGCCTTTACGGAGCTCGCTTTCCTGGCGCTGGGGGAGGGCGCAGCTGGGAAGTCCCAGAGCAGCGGTGTCAGGCTCTCCACGAGGGAAGGACGGGGCCAGAGTCCTCGCGAGGGCCCGGGGCGTGGTCCCCTGGGCTGGGCCGGAGCGCGGGCCGCTGACGTCACTGTCGGGTGAAGCTCGGTGCCTCCAAGCGGAGCCGCCCTCCGTACGGGGTGACCTGGTCTGCGCGGCGGGCGTGCCAGCTCCCCGCACCCATGGCAGCGGCCAGAGGACAGCCGGAGTTGCCGCAGGAAGCCCCCGCCACGGAACCCCCGCCCCCGCCGGCCTGCCGCTTCTTCCTGGAAGGCCGCTGCCGCTTCGGCGCCCGCTGCCGCCAGCCCCACCCTGGGGCGCCGGCGCCGCCTGACTGCGAGGCGCAGCCCGAGGCCAGGGCCAAGAAGCCGCCGCTGCGCACAGCCGCAGATGTCATCCAGCGCATCCGCTGGGACCCGCGCCTCGACCCCGCCGACTTCTCGGTGGGCTACGTCGACCGCTTTCTGGGCGTGCGCGAGGAGCCCTTCAGCGCCTTCTGCTGGGACGAGCCGCTGGCGGCGCTCGGGCCCGGCGTGCTGGCCGTGCCCCAGCACCGAGTGCGCTTCTTCCGCTTCCGCGGCCGCCTCGTGTGGGACCGCGCCTCGCGCACCGACCTCGTCTTCGGCTCTGGCTCGACGGCGGGACGCGGGCCCACCATCCTGGACGCGCTGGACAGCGAGGGCGCCCACGGGGCGGAGGACGCCGAGTGGACACCGGCGGTGGCAGGGCAGGAGGCCCAGGCTGCCCCCGAGCAGGGGAGCACAGGGCCGCTCCGCACAGGGCACCAAGAGCCAGGCGTGGAGGAAGCCGGAGAGCTGGAGGCGGCCCAGGAGCACGCGCTTGGCGCAGCTGCTGATTTTGAACACTGGCCCCAAGGGGACGCCTCGCAGGAGTGACTGAGGAGGCACTGAAGCCAACAGCAGCCGCCAGGATCACATGGCTGCGAAGCAAGGAAGCACAGGCCCTGGCAGCCCCGCTGAGGAGACAGAAGCCGAGTGGGGTCCTGGGGCCTGGCCCGAGGACAAAGGGGCCCGCCTTAGTGTTGCAGCCCCTCGCCAACCGCACCCCATTTTGTGGCCCTCATGGTGACCCAGCCTGGGCTACAAGCAGAAGTGACCAAGGCCCAGGAATACCTGGCCCACGTGGCCCCACACCGCGCCGACTTCCTGTGCCCACCCAGAACCTACACCTGCCGCTGGCCCTGCTGCTACCGGCAGGCGCTGGGGAGGCGGCGGCTACCATCAGGTCTCTGAGACGATCCTCTTGGCCCTGGGGCTAAACACACCCCCTCAGCTGAGCTTTAGGGAGCTGGTCCTCCTGGGCCCTCATGTGCTCTGTGCCCACCCTCTCCCACACTGGAAGGCATGGCACAAATGCTGAGCCAGAGGCTGGAAGCCGAGGGGCTGAGAGTGCTACAGTCTCCAGGGCAGCTGCATCGACACCTCACCGTGGGCAAGGTGCCCCATGGTTCCCAAGCCCACCTCCCCAAGCTGGAATTCACCCTCAGCCAGAAAGTGGGGTGCCAGACCCTGCTGACACTGTGGCTGTGCCGGACGGGGAGGACACGGGGGCCTTTCCAGCCCCTGGCTGAGATCCCACTGGAGTGACACCCCCAAACCTCTGGAGGAGACAATGGATGCAAACAGCCCACACAGGAAGGACAAAGCGGGAGCGTGCGCTCTCTCTCTCTCTCTCTCTTTAATTTTGGTTTCTCTCAAGCTTCCAAATGGTGCTCAGTGCTCCAAGGAAAGGAAGGAAGGAAGGAAAGGGAGGGGAGAGGAGGGGAAGGGAAGGCAGAGGAGGAACATCTGGAAAAAAAGCAGCCTGACAGTCCAGCTGTTTGCAAACTCATAGCACATCCTCCAGTTACATGGCAGAAGAGGGAGGGAGGGAGGGCCAAAAAGAAAAGGGAGAGGAGGAAGAAAAATAACTTAAACACACACACAAAGAAAAGAGAAGGCAACATGACGTGAGCTGGTGATCCATGAAGGCAGGGAGGGGGACCATTTTACCTGTGCTGAACCAAGGGAGGAATGCAGGGAGGAGGGAAGGAAAGGGAAAAAAAAATCAGAAGAGACATTGGGGCAGAGGAAGGAGGGGACACGGAGACAACTTTATACAACTTGAGACGAGGCGGCCCGGCCGGCGTGTCCTCAGTGCGGTGTGGCGGCGGAGGATCTGGTGCTGGTGGTGCTGGCACTTCAGGGTGGGGGGCCAAGGACGGGCACAGTCTCTAAGCAGCTCCCCTCACCCCAAACACGGAGGCCCCAAAGGGCTGGGAACAAGAGTCTGTGGCGAAGCAGGTGAGGCAGCAGGCGGTGGGCAGGCTTGCTGGATGCCCCCGCCGCAGGCGGGCACGGGCTGGACGGCCTGTCTTCTTTCCACTGGCCCCCCGGCATGGGATGGGCCAGGGCGCCGGGTCGGGTACCGGAGTGCAAGCTCGAAAGAGAGAGAGAGAAAACACTGAGACAGCATTAGTGGAGTGAAAGGCGGACACAGATGAGCCTGCAGACCATGCCCCCAGCCCTCCGCTGCCCATCCCCTCCTCCCCAATCCCATCCCTCTGAGGCAAAAAATAAAAACGTAGAAAAATCTCTGTACAGACTCCCCGGTGGGAAAACGGGGGCAGGGATGGTGGCTCTTCCTGGAGCCCACTCCCCACAGATAAATTTACAACCCAAGTCCACGGCTCAAAAACAGAATCCGCAAAGGCAGCGCTGGGGGCTGCAGCCCCTGCCCCCGCCCCCTCCTCGCTGGGTGCTCAGAAGGCTGACAGCTGCGCCAGGCTGAGGCGGCAGTCGATGCTGGAGTTGTCCGGGCCCGTGTAGGCCAGGCCCAGGGGCTCTAGGAAGGCCCGGCAGGCGGCCTCGCCCTCGAAGGCCAGCTCGGCCTGCAGGTAGGAGACTGGCAGCGCAGGGCGGAAGCTATGGAGACAAGAGGAGAAGGTGATGAGGCGGGCGGGCGGGAGGGCAGGGGAGGGCCCCACGAGCGGGGAGGCCCCCCATTCGGGTACCCACAGGATTTCCTCAGCACAGTACCTGCTGGCTTCCCCACCCGCCTCCCAGCCTCCCCACCTCAGGGGCTTGGGGGGGCCCGGGGTGGGGTTAGTGGCCCCAGCCCCCAGCTGTGCCCCCCCTCGCCCTCACTTACCTGTGCAGGGGGCCAGGGAGGAGAGGGGACAGGCAGGGAAGGGCCCAGCGGGCTCCTCCGCTGGCTGAGGGGCAGGGGCCAGATGGAGGGAGCAACACGCGGCAGGGGATGGGGATGGCAGGGCTGGCAGGGCTGGCAGGGCTGCCAGGGCCACCGTGGGGACCCGGCCCTCGCTGCTTCCCCTGCCCTGCATGACAGTGTCTCTGGGAAGCCAGGCACAGGGGTGCCAGCCAGCACTCACCACTACATACTGAAAGCAGCCGCTTCTGGCCGCTGCTAAGCCACACGACTAAGCATCTAGCACGACCCAGGTCCTCAGAGCTCCCTGAACCCTCTTCCACAGGCGGTGCACCCTACCCTTTCCACACACACAGGAACCAAGGCACCAAGTGAGGGGCACTAAGTCCTGGAACCCGCTTCTGCTCCAAAGCCAGAGCTTCATGGAGGCCCTGGGATCAGAGTCCACGCCATCTCCCAGTCTCAGCGGGCAGGGCAGCGTCAGCCTCCTTGGGGGAAAGGTGCTGACACAATGAGATCAATGACAGACTAGGGCCCCACCCACGAGGAGCCTCTCGGCTATGTTCCCAACCAAGGCCAATTAGGCATCGATTCACCAGGACGCTCCACCACAGGACCCTGTGCAGTCGGAAGCTTGAGAGCCGCCATTCATGGGGCCCATCATGGCAGTACACTGGGCAGCCTCCTGCCTCTAACTTCCCAAGCTGGCATGGAGCTCTGGGCACGGCATGCCACATGCTCGTCTGCTCCTGTGACTCCTACCCTGGCTCGGCCTCTCCCTGAAGTTGGCTTAATCCACACTAGATTCCAGGATGAGTCTCCCACCCTCCAGGCTGACGACCCCTCCCTAGCTCCAAACTCTGCTGTGACTATGACCTCAGAGGGCCACCTGGCCAGGCACTCAAGGCCTCCAGTCTACTGGTCAACCTCTTCGACCAGAATTTCTCCACCTCGGCAAGACTGACCTCTGGGCCCCAGTGGCAGTGGTGGGGCTGCATACCTGGCCTCAGCACCCCTGGCCCCCACTCACTAGATGCCAAGAGCATCCCCTTGCTGTGACAACCGAAAACCTCTCCTGACACTGCCCAGCGTCGTCTGGGCACCTCAATCACCAGACAGGACCACGCGTCTAAACGTGAGTCAAGCAACTGTCCCCTACCCACAGCGAGCCAAGAGCAATGTCTAGTGAACAAAGGACACTGCAGGGGCCTGGCCTGACCAGGGGCCTTTGGCACCGCACCCAGTGTGGCCTCATCGCAGGCGTCTCCCTAAGTGTTTCTGGTGCTCTCCAAGGAGCTGCGTGGGACAGGGCCTTGTCCTGTTAGACCAGAGACTGCCTGGATGGTCTCCATGGTGGGAGCACAGCGACAAGCTGAGAAAGCAGAGACCTCAGGGTTCTGAGGAAGCCCAGAGCGAGGAGTGAACTAGGGGATCCAGGCAGGAGAGAACAGGAGGAAGAGACGCACAGACGGGGTGGAAAAGAGGCCCCAGAGGCAGTGAGCTGGGAACAGTGGGGAGGCGGGGAGGAGTGACCCGGAACACAGAGGTGGCCAAGAAGGAAAGCAAGAGGAACTGGAGAGGGAAGGGCTGAATGGAGAAAGATGGGGGAGCAAGGACCAGGAGAAGGGTCAGGGGCTAGGGGAGGCCTGCGGCCAGGAGCTGGTCTGAGAGGTGGTGTGAGGCAGAAGGATGGGAAGAGCAAGGGCAGAAGAGAGCTTGGCACCACATACGTTTTGATCATGGCTTTGAGGGCGACCTTGCGTTCCCGATCTGCAAACTTGTCCACGAGGTAGCCAGACATGCAGGGTGCATGGCAGTAGAGCCGGAAAAAGCGGTGGTAGTTGCCCAGGGCCCAGGCTGTCCTTAATGCCAAGGCGTGGGCCACGCAAGGATCTGCCTTCAGTTCTCGTGTGAGGTATGCCAGCTCCGTGGTGATGTCTAGCGCCAAGACAAAGAGGGTCAAGTCAGCAGGGCTCAACCCTGGGCACCACGGCCTCCGTCCCGGGGACTGGGCCTCACCTCCCGAGTTCTTGGTGAAGATGTAGTAGAGGATTCGGTAGGCAGTAAACTCGCCCACGTTGCCAGGCAAGTTCTCGGCGTACAGCGACTTGAGCTGCGTCTGGCACTGGTTAAACTCTTCGTGGTCACCCTGCAAGGCAGAGGCATGGAGGGAGGAGAGCAGAGTGAGGGTGCTGAGGGCAGAAGAGCAGCAGGAAAGGGGCTGGGGAGGTCCGCAGAGGCCAGCTCACCTTCTCCAAGGCGATCCGGGCGTGGGTCTCATACACCTCCACCGTGAACTCGGTGCGGATGCCCTGCACCTGGGGCCATGGGGCGAGAACAAGAGTCACAAGGAGCGGGAGGCAGGACTGGCTGAGGCCAGGCCCTTCCCAGCATGAGACTCACCGTCAGATCCTGCCGGATCGACTTCATCTGCTCGCAGGCAAACGCGTAGTCCTGCTTCTCTTTCCAGTGGGACTTCACCATGCATAGCGATTTTTTCAAAACCTGGAAAAGGAAACTGAATTAGCACTCGGAGTACAGCTCAGGTCTGGTAGGCAAGGGTTTCCACTGATTTGGTAGGAGAGTTGCAACATTAAGGAAAAAAACAACAAAAAAAGGCTGGACGCAGTGGCTCACGCCTGTAATCCCAGCCACTGAGGAGGCTGAGGCAGGAGAATCGCGTGAAGCCGGGGAACGGAGGTTGCGGTGAGCCAAGATCTCACTACTGTACTCCAGCTTGGGCAACAAAGCAAGACTCTCCCCCCACCAATTAAAAAAAAAAAGAAAAAACACACCAGACATGGGTTAAGAGTGGCCACCCCACACCCATTTCCCCGTAAGCACATGGCTGTTCACATGTTCTGCAGCAGAACAGTGAGGACGCAAACCCTGGGAAGCACAGCCCCCCGTGCCCCACAGCCCATGGGCCTGGGAGAAGGCTCTGTGCTCCCTGTCACCTAAGCCAGGGACCACGGCCCAGAGGGCAAGCGATTCGCTGGCCAAGCTGCACACCCACCATGCAGGATCCGGGGCAGCAGTGTGCCTTCGCGCTCCTTTCAGAACGCAGACCGGCCGAGGCTTCCCTGGCCGGGCTTCCCCTGCCATACCAGAGCCCCCATGTGGCCTCTGCCACCCTCCCTGGCTCGGCTCTCCAAGTCCTGAGCCAGCAGGGCCTCACAGAGCAGAACTGCCCAGCCCAGCCGGGCACTTACTGCCACAGGGCGCACGGTGGACGGGTCGGGGGCACAGGTGAGGCGCAGGTAGTGCTTGGTGATGTCAGGGCAGGTGCCCACGATCTGCAGTTCCTGCCAGTCAGGGTCGGCCCCGCTGCTCTCCAGGCTGCTCATCTGCAGCACCAGGGGCTCGAGGCGCAGACGCCGGGAGTGTCCATGCTGGAAGCGAGCTGCCCGCTTCTGCTTCTTCAGCTCGCGCTCGGGGTCCTCGCACTCCAGTGCCGCCATCTTCTTTCGACTGCGCTTGGTGGAAGCCAGATCATGCCTAGGAAGGGGTGAGGGCAGTGAGCGGGACGGGTGTCTCCAGCCACCCTACAGCCTCGCCTCTTTGGCAGCTGGCTATCCACCTGTCTAGCCTCTTCCTCCTTCTCCCACAGGTCCCCAGTACCCTCCTCCACCCTGGCCTGTGTCTCAAGCCCCTACCCAGTCTCACCTCTTCCCACGCTGCGCCCTGCCTCGGCCCCGATCCATATGGGCCCCTCGACCGCCCCGGCCCTTAGGGGGCGGGTTCCTGCGGCCCACAGGGTGACACTCGTTTCCTGAGTAGGAACTGTCGGAGTCTGAGTGGGAGTCACTGCAGGAAGAAGCAGGAAGATCAGGCCTGAAACGCCTCCCCCCTCCCCCACACACCCCCACCCCAGCCCGGAGCCTCAGTACCTTCTGCGGAAGTGGCGGGTTGGGGACCTGGAGGAGGAGCGGGAGCGGGAGTCTGTGCTGGACGAAGAGCTGTTGTCCTTCATGAAGACGTTGCGGTTGCCAAACTTGGTGAAGCTGTTGCCCCGGGCTCGACCAGCACCCCCAGCCCCCGGCGTCCCTCGCTGGGACGGGGCACCCCCGCCCCTAGTCGCTGAGCCCGCCCCTCTAGGAGGGTGAAGGCTGCTAGGGGCCTCCCACCGCTTCTTCTTAGGGCTCTCGGCCACAGGCTCCCGGGTCAGCCTGAGGATACAGCAGGGCAGGGCATTACCATCCCCGCCAGACACCGGCAGGACGGCCAATACCACCTCCCTCAATCTACCAACCTATCTCTGAAAGGAAAGGGGCTTACCCCAGGCGGCTCAGCTATCACAGTGCAGAAATGAGACGCACACCCAGGTTTTCTGTGTCCAGAGGGTGCGCTTAACCACTAAGCAATGCACACCTCTCCAGCATCCATGGTCCCCACCCCACCCCACTGGCCTCCCTCCAACCAGGACTTCATTCCCCTGGGATCCAACTTTCCAGTTCATTTCTCTTTGGAACTCCTGGTACCTGGGACCCCCAACTCTCCTACTTCCATACCCGGCCCGTGCCTCGCACAGCACCACCCTCCCACCTATGTCCCCCACCCACACTAACCCTGGCAGGGGCTCCCGGCTCCAGTCAATGGTATAGGCTGAGCCGTCCTGCAGCCGCGCCTGCAGCACCTCCTTGAGCAGCTTTTCCGTGCGGTCCTTGTCCTCCTCCGACTCACAGGCGGTGAAGCAGCGCTCCACATACTCTTTCATGTCCTGGGGCCAGTCGTCGGGCTTCCCAGACAGGTTCCCCCGGGCAGAGGACCCACTGCGGGAGGACAGATGAGGGGCTCGGTTGTAGAGAATTCCCAAACTCAGAAGACCATCCCCAGCACCACTCTGAGCCGACACACAGCGGGACACAGTTCCCATGTTCTCCTTCTGTCTCCTTCAGTGCTCACAGCAACCCCCAAGGGAGGGTCCTTCTCCCCTTTCCAGAGGTGCACACTGAGGCTCGGGGTGGGCAGCTGGCCAGTGGCACTGGACCACAGACGCTGAGTGCAGTGTGCGGGGCTGTGACGGGGCAAGTGGGCAGACGTCACCTGTGGTTCTGAGCTTTCTCAGGGTTGGGCTGGGGGCCGAAGCCGCCGTGCTGGCCCTCTGCGTTGGAGCCAAAGCTCTGGGTGGTGACAGCAAACGGTCGCTTCTGGATGTTGAACTTGAGACCTCCAGTCCCAGGGGCTGCTGTGAGGGCAGCAAAAACCAGAGTTAGGCCCTTCCCCAGCACATCCAGAGGTCCCCAGGAGACAGCAGGATGTGGAAATGCAGGGAGGAGCGGTCAGGTTCTAGAGGAGGGCTCCAGCACACACGTGCTGGTCCAAAGCAGCCCCACCCCAAGCCTGGCGATCACAACACCCAGAAATAAGGAGCAGCACACACCATATGCCTCACACCTAGGAGCTCTGTAAGGGCCCCAACCCCTCGCGCCTCCACACGGCTTTGCCGACTTACGTTTCATGCGGTTCCACAGTTGTTGGCCCTTCTTGGGCTTGGCAGGTTCAGTGTAGCTGTGTGGCCCATAGGCCTGGCCTGTGGCGGGCCCCGCCTGGCTGTGCTGTGTGGCTGGAGCCGTCCCAGGCTGAGGGCCACTGTTCAGCGTGTGAGCCCCATGCGGGGGATTTGAGGGCTGAGGGGGCTGAGCCGACGGCAGCTGCTGAGGGGGAGCCTGGTAGGACATGCTCTCATCCATGCCGGGGACCGGGGGCTGCAGAAGGAAGCAGGCGCTAAGCACGGGAGGCAGATTCGGGAGCTGGCGAGTGGCACTCAGCCCTCACCATGAGGACACGGTGGTCACAGCACTCGACCCTCCTGTGACCTTCCCACACGTGCTCATTCGAGTCCTCAGTAGCTCTCTGAGGTTAACGTTTGTTAACAATCCTTTTCACAGCTGACAAGGCTCCAGCTCAGAGACTCAGCAGCCTCCCAGGGCCCTGAGCTACGAAGCAGCAGCTGGCAGCGTCGATGCTGGAGTAACAGCCACCGACAACACCCACTCCAGCGCTGCCACGTGAGCACACACTCAGAGCACGAGGACGAGGCCGCCATCCTTCCCGCTTCCGAGCGCGGACCGAGATGCGCACGTAATTACACCGGGGTGGGCACGCTGGGATTCAAACCCAGGCCTACCCGCCTCCTACGCACTAGCCCGGCCATCCCTCCAAGCTGCACCTTAAATGCAAAACCCACCCCGTGTGCGTGACCACACTGCGGAAAAAGACGTCTTTCAACATCTCAGGTCTGGCCTTGGCTCGGCCTCAAACCCACCCTGGGTTCAAACACTATGCTTTGTCCTCCTCATTTTCAGACCAGGAGTTGCTTGGAAGGAAAAAAGCAGTTTAAGGAGCACAGGCCATTCCTCATTGACAGCTCATTCAAAAATCTACATTTCCTCTGCTTGAGCACGGCATGGGAGCTGGGCTAGGGTGTTACCTGGTTCAGAGTCCCTTGGTGCTGGGGTGCGGATGGCTGCTGGGGTGTGGCTGAGCCATAGGAGCTGGCCATCCCATACTGGGAAGGGGAGCCGTAGCTCTGGTACATGCTCTGCAAAGGTGCAGGGAGGGAGGGTTTAGTGGGAGGCCTGCCCTTTCCACTTCCCCAGCCCGCTCAGGAACTACACCAGCCATGGCCCTCTACCAATCCCTCACCCCTTTCTCTTTCCACTATATTAATGCACCACACCCTCTCATATACTAAAAAAAGAAAAACCTCTATCAATCCCGCATCTCACTTAGCTAGTTCTCAGAAAAATATAATCAACAATACTGAGTGCCAACTTTTCTAAGCACCACGACGAACAGTAAGAAGGAAAACCCATGAACTAATGAAGCTTGTGCTTGAATTACATGCCCGGCTGTAGACATCAATATATAATATATCCAGCAATAAGAATCATGAACAATAAAAAGGCAAAGAAAGGGAGAGAGACAGGCTGCAAGGCAGGAATGCTACTTTCAATCAGTGTGTCAGGTAGAGGCTCTCTGAAGGCGGCACCTGAGCAGAGACCTCCAAGAGGCGGTAACACAGGGAGCACTGCAGCCAGGGCAAAGCAAGAGCGGGCCTGGCGGGGGTGAGCATCAAGGAGGTCTCCGCTTTGATGGCCATGGCAGAATGAGCATGAGGAGAGAAGGGACCAGAACCAGGTACGTAGGACCTTGTGGCTCAAGGTGGGGACCTTGGAATGCACCTCATGGGCAAGTAGAGGGTTTCCAGCAGTCATCACCGCTATCTCCAGTCCATCCACCACCGGGCCCCATCCCGGCAGACTCCGCCCCACCCCGCCCCGCCGGCTGGGCACTCACCATGGGATAGTAGTAGCTGTAGGGGTAGGCATAGTTGTACTGCTGGTACCACTGGTAGTACTGCTGCTGCTGCAAAGCTGAGGCTTCTGCCTGGGACACGTACTGTGGAAACAGAGAGGCACACGTGCCGTCAGCAGCCCAAATCCACAGGCGGCCCCCAAAGCACAAGCCTGTTGTTTACTGGTGGGTAATTGCCAAGGGATGAAACTGGGTTCATGTATCTGCAAAGTGAGCCGCCGTCTCCACCATGAGACTCACAGACGTTAGAGACCAGGGACATGGGCATGGCCTCCCTCTTCAGAACCACATCACACCCTAGATTCCTCAAGGAAACAGAACTCTTCCGTTCAGACTTAGATACCCTGGAACAACTTTTTATGTTTCCCCTCAGAGCACCCCGTCCGAATGATACAAGAGGACGCCAGACTGTCTCTCTCCCACGACCACTGGCTCAGGGTACCCCAGCCCCATGTCCTTCTCACTTGTGCACTGGCCACAGGCCCATTGCTGCTGGACTTGGCAGAGCTGCTGGCGGCTCCTGACTTGCTGATGCTGGCCAGGGCCTGGCGGGCCTTCTCCCACTCCGGGTTCTCGTGCATTGGCGTCTCCATGCCATTCTCTCGGCCTGCCCCAGCCACCATGCTGTACTGAGAAGACCTACAGAGAGAGGACCTCAAGTCACACCTGTTCTCCCCACTGTACACAGGTGGGCAAGTTGGGAGGCAAATGCCAGTCCCTGGATCCCAAATCTAACTGTCACTACCTATCTAAGCCTAAGTTTTCTAATCTGTACTATGCTGATAAAGGGTTTCTGCTTCAGAGTCTTCTGGGAGGGATAAATGAGATCACCCACTTCAGGTACTTATCCCAGAGCCTGGCACACAGGAGTTGTTAAAACCAAACAAACAAAAAAATTAACAGAACCCACAGAACTGAACACAGGCCCTGGCACCTCCTAGGGCTATGTCTTTCATGAATCAATGAATTCCGTCTGACATCACCCCAGTCGGCAGGTTATCACACTATTTTGAGAAAAAATAAGGAATTTGCAGAAAAACAAATAAATGAGTGTCTATTGAGTGTTGGGAATCTGCCTCCTAATTATACTTGCTTGAATGAATCATCATAATTCTGCAAAGCAAGCACTGTACTGTGAAAAATGAAAGCTCCAAGAGGTAAGGCTTGCCCCTCTCCACACAACCGAATGCTTCCCTCTGTGTTTGCCTCACCACCACCCCCAATCACAGGGATTGTGGCATCACTTCCCCTAAGGCCACGTGAGGTCCCACCCCAGAGGATAGCACTGGGTCTTGCTTCCTCTTTCCCTCCCGACCGGCCTCCATCCCTCTTGCCACACTAACCAATCTGTGCTACGTTGATCACCCACGTTGGCCGCCATCTGGACCTTGGGGTATAAGGGGTGGACCTCGGGAGCCAGACTGCTTTTTCACTGTCTATGAGAAAAAGAATGAGTTAGGGAGACTTAAGGGGGAGCTAAAAACATGTCACAAAGTGGGGAGGAAAAGTAGATGAACTCACAAGAAGCCAAGTAGAAAAGGGGAGGCTGACAGAGAAGCCACTGGGGTCAAGGATCTGAAGAGTTCTGGGTGTGGACTAAAAAGGCTGGAGTATGAGAAGCCCCTGGCCACTTCGTAGTGCTCCAGGTGGAAAACGAAGGATTTGGAAACAGGGAAGCCAGAACAGACTTCCCAAAGGGAAGGAGAAGGGTCTGAAATCCATGTGAGCAAAGAGAGGGTGTGATGAAAGGTCGAGAGGGTGGGAGTGCCTCCACCAAGGGGGAAAAGTTCTAAAAAAAATTCTAGGGGCCAGGTGTGGTAGCTCACGCCTGTAATCCCAGCACTTTGGGAGGCCGAGGCAGGCGGGTCACCTGAGGTCAGGAGTTCGAGACCAGCCTAACCAACATGGACTAACCCCGTCTCTACTGAAAATACAAAATTAGCTGGGCATGGTGGCACATGCTTGTAATCCCAGCTACTAGGGAGGCTGAGGCAGGAGAATCGCTTGAACATGGGAGGCGGACGGCAGTGAGTTGAGATTGCGCACCACTGCTCTTCAGCCTGGGCAGCAAGGGTGAAACTTTGTCTCCAAAAAAAAAAAAAAATTCTAGGAAATACGGGTTGTGAAAGGAACCTGAACCAAGAGAACAGATGCTATAATGAGAAGAGTCTGAGGAAACCCTTAAGGCTGAGAGGGTGGAAAGGTTTCCGAGAACTCTAAAAAAGACAATGCCGACGTGAACCCCAACGTGAAGAAATGGGTTCTTAGCACCGAGAGACTGATTTCAAACAGGTCTCTGAAGGGCAGTAAGGAGACCGACGTGGGAGTCCTCAGTGGGACTACCCCTGCCTGCTTCCACGGGAGGTTCCCAGAAGCAGGGGTAGGGCTGGGAGAGAAAAGGGATCACCTTGGTTGGGTGTCTGGACATAAAGCTTTGGAAATGCCAAACAAGACCCAAAACATGTTCAAGGAATTAAGAGTGGGGTAGAGAGAACTGGAAGGAAAGTGGAGTGTCTCCGGGGCGAGGACGGCGAAGCCTAAACTCCCGCGAGGGAGTAACCGATAAGTAGGATAATGAATCCCGCAGGAGAACCGGAATTCTCCCAAGTTGACGGGATAGGAACAGGAGTCTGGAGCTGGGGAAAAACCCTAGAAACGCAAAGGCTTAACTTAAACAGGACACAGGGCGTGAGTGGAGACGAGGGATCGTGGCGGGGACACAGGAAAACGCGCCCCGGGGCAGAACGGAGATCAGAAATAAGGTCAGGAGTTGGGGGCTGGGGAGAGGACTCCCCGACGGGTCTCAAGAACGGGGACAGGCACCAGACGTGAGGCCTGGGGTCCCGGGAGCACCTGGCCGTCCCGCAGGCTGGGCGAAGGCAAAGGAGGACGCCGGGTGGAGGAGGCCGCCCGGATCCCCAAGACTGGCCACGGAGCCACTGCCCAGGCCGCGCCTGCGCACCACGCCCCAGAAAGACTCGCTGGAGTCGCCCGTCGCCCGGGGCAACACCCGGTCAATGGAGAGTGAGGGGCTCGCCCCGGGGCCCCCAAGAACTCCGAGGGAGAGGGACGGGGAGTGGAAGACTACGGCGCACGCGCGTTAGTGCCCGAACGCGCGCCCCCAGGCCCGGTGCGCAGGCGCAGTGGCTGCCCCCTGCCCCGCCACACCCTGTCGACGCTCGCGCGCGGCGTCTGCTGCTGCGACAGCCGAGAAGGCCTCGGGGCTCGCGGGACGCTAGACCGAAAGGAGATGCTATCCCCGCCCGCCTGCTCGCCCGCCGCTCCCCTTACCAACCAGGACCCTTCGCTGCAGGGACACGCCAACAACCACCCAGGCGATTACCAACACGGCCACGACACAGCTCGGCCACCCGGCTGGCTCTGGTCTTCTTTGGCTTCGACGTCCTGACCGCGGCGTCCTGACGTCACGCGGCGGCCTCGCCCCGCCTCGCTCGGCCCTGCACAGCCAATGACCGCCACGAGCTACGCTTGAGCCCGCCCTCCCGCCTACGCACTTACGCATGAGCGTTTTAAGGCAGGCCGGAAGTCTGGGTGGGGACGGTGGCCCCGAGGGGACAAGTGAGGCCGCATTAGCTGGTTTTGCCTCCCACGCAGCCCCGTTTTGTTGTTGTTGTTGTTGTTCTCCGAGACGGGGTATTGCTCTTGCTCTGTCATCGCCCAGGATGGAGTGCAGTGGCGCAATCTCGGCTTACTGCAACCTCCGCCTCCCGGGTTCAAGCAATTCTCCTGCCCCAGCCTCCGGAGTAGCTGGGATTACAGGCGCGCGCCACTATACCCGGCTAATTTTTGTATTTTTAGTAAAGACGGGGTTTCACCATGTTGGCCAGGCTGGTCTCGAACTCCTCACCTCGTGATCTGTCCGCCTCGGCCTCCCAAGTGCTGGGATTACGGGCGTGAGCCACCGCGCTCGGCCGCAACCTTGTTTTGACTGAGTCAGTGGGAGCCATTACTGTTCCTCCATGTACACTGGCGTGACAAGAGTTCCGGGATTGTCCACAGCACCGTGATGTGGAAGCCCTGGGGAGAGAATGATAAAGAAAGGGGGTGAGGAACAGCTTCCCCCGGAAGAGCGGGCTTCCCTAGTCAATGAATCTGGAAGGGCGCAGTGGAGGGGGCGCGGCGAGTTCAGATGGATGGAGGCTGGAAGCTGGTGCGGTTGGAGGAGGATGGGTGTAGCAGTTGGCAGGGGCGCTGGGGTGGAAGTGTGTGGGGTCACAGGTGTGTAAGGGTGGGCGCGGAGCGGACCCCCAGAGGTCACTGAGGTCAGGCTGAGACATTGGACCAAATCTGTACATAGGCATTTCTCTGAACTCCGCGCCACCTGTTTCCATCCAGGACTCGGATACAAATTATCCAGTCCGCTGCAGGGACCGGTCACTGTGTCACAGTAAGTGGTAGGATTTAAGAGGCAGTTTTCCTCCTTTATTTTGTACCATTATGAACTTGTAGCTTGAAAAGCACATACCATTTTCATAACTACGTATTATTTTGTTAATGCTAGCATAGATCTTTTTCCGTTATTTTACTGTGTGTGGTGGGGGGTCGTTTTCTTTTGTTTGTTTTTGTTTTTGTTTGGGTTTTGGTTTTGGTTTTTTTTTTTTTTTTGGTACCAAACTTTTTGTTCCGGAATAATTTTGGATTTATTCAAAACCTTGCCAAGGCCGGGCGCGGTGGCTCACACCTCTAATCCCAACACTTTGGGAGGCCGAGGTGGGTGGATCACCTGAGGTCAGGAATTCAAGATCAGCCTGGCCTGGCCGACATGGTGCAGTCTTGTCTCTACTAAAAATACAAAAAGTAACTGGGCGTGGTGACGCGTGCGCCTGTAATCCCATCTGCTCTGGAGGTGGAGGCAGGAGAATCGCTTGAACCCAGGAGGCCGAGGTTGCAGTGAGCCAGGGTTACGCCATTGCACTCCAGCCTGGGCGACAAGAGTGAAACTCTTGTCTCAAAAAAAAGAAAAGTTGCAAAGATCATAATGCAGTCCAGCGTATTTTATGCCCAGTTTCATCTGATGCTGTCATCAGAAGCATCAATAAAAGTGCTTTGTTACAGATACTGACAGGATACGTTAGTGTAACTAAACCCCAGACTTTACTGGGATTTCACCTTTTCCTCCAATGTTTTCTTTACATGCCAGAGTCCAAGCCAGGACCCACGCTCCATTTAGCTTTCTTTTACCTGTTGTTTAGGGCGGGTTTCTTGTAGATAGCATGTAGTTGGATCTTGCTTTTTTTTGCCCAAGCGAACAGTCTCTGCCTTTTAAAAGAGGCGTTTATAACTGTACTTTTATTTTTTATGTCTTATTCTTTTAGCATTCTGTAACAGACACAGCGATAAAATGAAATGACTGGAACTTAAAAGTGAAAACTCTTTACAATTAAGCCCACAATTAGATACATTTATCTTACATGTGAGTAAAAAAAAAAAAAAAATTATGAAAACAGGACAAATTATATCACAAAAGAACCCCAAAATAGAAAAAATACCTAAGAAATGTGTCTAACCATGAAAAGTACTGTTCTTTTGGTGTCTTCTGTGTACTTAAGTACAAAACATTGTTGCCTCTGATTAATGCACCCTGTACTTATTTTTCTGTTGTCCAGTTACATATTTGGTCGAATCCAGGGCTATGTTCATGTACCATCCAGGCAAACCAGCACCCCTCCCTTAATCCACTTCAGAATTTTACCCCAACTGTCTGATGATTTGCTCTAAGAAGTCACTAGGGGGTTGCTTTTTTTTAAAATCAATTATTTTATTTTATTTTTTTTTTTGAGACGCTATGTTGCCCAGGCTGGAGTGCAGTAGCACAATGTCAGCGCACTGCAACCTCTGCCTCCCAGGTTCAAGCAATTCTTGTGCCTCAGCCTCCCAGTAGCTGGGATTACAGATATGCACCACCACACCCAGCTGAGTTTTGTATTTTTAACGGAGACGGTTTCACAGTGTCGAGCAGGCGGGTCTCGAATTCCCAATCTCAGGTGACCTGCCCGCCTCCGCCTCCCAAAGTGGTGGAATTACAGGCATGAGCCACTGCGCCTGTCCAGTAGGGCGTTGCTTCTGAACACTTATTTTAATAATCTTGGGTGGGCCAGGTGCGGTGGCTCACGCCTATAACCCTAGCACTTTGGGAGACTGAGGCAGGTGGATCACCTGAGGTCAGGAGTTATAGACCAGCCTGGCCAACATGGCGAAACCCCGTCTCTACTAAAAATACAAAAAAATTAGCCAGGCGTGGTGGCGCATGCCTGTAATCCCAGCTACTCCGGAGGCAGGAAACCTGAGTTGTAATCCCAGCTCTTTTACTTAACCAGCCGTATGAGTTGGAAAACTCATTATTTCCCTTCTCTTGGCTCCAGATTCCTCATCTTGCAGCTGGGATCCAGAGTTCATACTCCAGGAGCCCAACTACAGCAAAAACCAAAACTGTACTTTTTTTTTTTGGAGACAGGGTCTCTCATTCTGTCACCCAGGCTGGAGTGCAGTGGCGTGATCTCCATCTCAGCCCACAGCAGCTTCAACCTCCCAGGCTCAAGTGATCCTCCTGCCTCAGCTACACAGTGTGATGGTATTTTGTTATAACAACCAGCATGTATTTAAGACATTTATTGAAGGATGTCTTGGTTCCTTCCAAGTTTTTGGCAATGATCCATAAAGCTGCATAAACATGTACGTGCAGAGTTCTTTGTGGGCACAGGTTTTCAGCCCATCTGTGTAAGTACTGGGGAGCACTGTTGCTGGTTTGTATTCTACCAGTATGTTTAGGATTATGAGAGACTGCCGCACTGTCCTCCAAAGTAGCTGTACCATTCTACATTGCCAACACCAAGTAATGAGAGTTTCTGTTGCTCCACATTTCTGCCAGCATTTGGTGGTGCCAGCATTTTGGATTTGGCATTCTAATAGGTATGTAGTGGTGTCTTGTTTTTTTTTTTTTTTTTTTTTTTTTTTGAGACAGAGTCTCGCTGTGTCTCCCAGGCTGGAGTGCAGTGCAGTGGTGTGGTCTCAGCTCACTGCAACCTCCTCCTCCCGGGTTCAAGCGATTCTCCTGCCTCAGCTTCCCAAGTAGCTGGGGCTACAGGCGTGTGCCACCACACCCGGCTAATTTTTGTATTTTTAGTAGAAACGGGGTTTCACCATGTTGGCCAGGATGGTCTCGATCTCTTGACCTCGTGATCCACCTGCCTCAGCCTCCCAAAATGCTGGGATTACAGGCGTGAGCCACCACACCCGACCAGTGGTGTCTTGTTTTAATGCGCAGTTCCCTAATGACATACGACTAACATCTTTTCCTATGCTTATTTGCCATCTATATTAGGGTTCTCCAGAGGGCCAGAACTAACAGGATATATGTATATATTGAAAGGGAGTTCATTAGGGAGAATTGGCTCACACGGTCATCAGGCGAAGTCCCACCACAGGCCGTCTACAAGCTGAGGAAGGAAGAAGCCAGTCACGTCTCCAAGTCCGAAAGCCTCAAAAGTTGGGAAGCCAATGGCCAGCCTTCAGTCTGTGTCAGAAGGCCCAAGAGTCCCCAACAAACCACAGGGAGAAGTTCAGGAGTCCAAAGGCCAAAGAACCTGGAGTCTAATGTCCAAGGACAGGAAGCATCCACCACAGGAGAAAGATGAAAGCCAGACGACTCAGCAAGCCAGCCCCTCCCGCCTTCTGCCTGTTTTATTCTAGCCACGCTGGCAGCCAACGGGATGGTGTCCACCCACACTGAGAGTGGGTCTTCCTCTCCCACTCCACTGACTCAAATGTCAGTCTCCGCTGGCAACACCTCACAGACACACCTAGAAACAATCCTTTTTTTTTTTTTTTTTAAGACAAAGTCTCACTCTCTCACCCCGGCTGGAGTGCACTGGCACCATCTCGGCTCACTGCAACATCCGCTTCCCGGGTTCAAGCAATTCTTCTGCCTCAGCCTCCTGAGTAGCTGGGACTACACGTGCCAGCAGGTTCGGCTAATTTTTGTGTTTTTAGTAGAGACGGGGTTTCACCATATTGGCCAGGCTGGTCTCAAATTCTTGCCCACCTCGGCCTCCCGCAGTGCTGGGATTACAGGTGTGAGCCACCGTGCCCGGCTTCTTTTCCTGTTTTTTAATCAGATTGTTTTCCTGTTAACTGAGTTTTCAGAGCCCTTTGTATATCTTGGATAACAGTCTTTAATGAGATAGGTCTCTTGCAAATAGTTTATCCCAGGCCGCAGCTTGTTTTCTCATCATATTAAAAATGTTTTTCAAAGAGCAGAGGGTTTTTTTATTATTATTTTAATAAAGTCCAGCTTGTAAGTTTCTTTCATGGAGCACGCCTTTAATGTATCAAAAAATTTATCATGGCGGGATACAGTGGCTCACAGCTATAATCCCGGTATTTTGGGAGGCTGAGGTGGGCGGATCACTTGAGGCCAGGAGTTTGAGACCAGCCTGGCCAACATGGTGAAACCCCATCTCTGCTAAAAATACAAAAATTAGCCGGGTGTGGTGGCGCACAACTGTAATTCCAGCTACTCAGGAGGCTGAGGCGCGAGAATCACTTGAACCCAGGAGGCAGAGTTTGCAGTGAGCCAAAATTCTACCAGTGTACTCCAGCCTGGGCAACAGAGGGAGACTCTTGTCTCAAAAAAAAAAAAAAAAATTTCACAAAACCCAGTCATCTAGATTTTCTCCTAGGTTGTCTTCTAGGAGTTTTATAGTTTTGCATTTAACATTCAGGTCTATGATCCATTTTGAATTAATTTTTGTGAAGAGACTAAGGTCTGTGTCTAGATTTTATTTATTTATTTTTGGCATGTTGATGTCCACTTGTTCCAGCACCATTTGTGGGGAGAGGTTTGAGCATTTTTTATGATACTGTTCTTTTTCTTTCTTTTTTTTTTTTTTTAGACGGAGTCTCACTCTGTCATGCAGGCTGGAGTGCAATGGCGTGGTCTCGACTCACGGCAACCTCTGCCTCCCAGGTTCAAGCAATTCTCCCACCTCAGCCTCCCAAGTAGCTGGGACTACAGGTGTGCAGCAGCACACCCAGCTCCTTTTTGTATTTTTAGTAGAGACAGGGTTTCACCATGTTGGCCAGGCTGGTCTCGAACTCCTGACCTCGGGATCCGCCTGCCTCGGCCTCCCAAAGTGCTGGGATTACAGGCGTTGAGCCACCGCACCCAACCTTATGATACTGTTCAATCTCTGCTCTGCGCCCACCACCACATCCAGCTAATTTTTGTATTTTTGGTAGAGACGGGGTTTTACCATATTGACCAGGTTGGTCTTGAACTCCTAACCTCAGGTGGTACGCCCGCCTCAGCCTCCCACAGTGCTGGGATTACAGGCGTGAGCCACTGCGCCTGGCCTTGTCTTCACTTTTGAAAAACAGTTTCAATGAGTATAGAATTCTAGGTTGACTACTTTTTTCTTTTGCTACTTTAAGAATTTTCTTACACTGCTTTCTCACATTGTTTCCAGTGAGAAATCTGGTGTCATCCTAATTTTTGTTCCTCTGTTTATAAAATATTTTTGTTTTTCATCTGGCTGTTCTCAAGATTTTCTCTTTATTACTGGTCTTAAGAAATCTGATTAGGATGTGTCTTGGTTTTTGTGTTTCTTCTGCTTGGGGTGTGTTGAGTTTCTTGGATCTTTGGTTTTATAGTTTGTATCAAATTTGGGAAATTTGGGGTTGTTATTTCTTTAAACACTTTCTCTGTTCCTTTCTCTCTCCTTATGGGCCTCCAGTTACACATATATTAGAATATCCCACCACTCACTAGTGTTCTTTCCATTTAAAAAATATATATATTCATTCCTTTTGTGGCAGGGCATGGTGGCTCATGCCTGTAATCCCAACACTTTGGGAGGCCAAGGCAGTAGGATCATTTGAGCCCAAGAGTTTGAGACCATCTTGGGCAACATGGTGAGACCTCATCTACAGAAAATGTTTAAACATCAGCCAACCATGGGCCGGGTGCAGTGGCTTACACCTGTAATCCCAGCACTTTGGGAGGCCAAGGCGGGTGGATCACGAGATCAGGAGATGGAGACCATCCTGGCTAACATAGTGAAACCCCATCTCTACTAAAAATACAAAAATATTAGCTGGGTGTGGTGGCGGACGCCTGTGGTCCCAGCTACTTGGGAGGCTGAGGCAGGAGAATGGCGTGAACCCAGGAGGCGGAGCTTGCAGTGAGCCAAGATCACGCCACTGCACTCTAGCCTGAGCAACAGAGCGAGACTCCGTCTCAAAAATAATAATAATAATAAAATTAAAATAAAAAAATTGGCCAAGCATGGTGGCATGCGCCTGTAGTCCCAGCTACTCGAGAGGCTAAAGTGGGAGGATCGCTTGAGCTGGGGAGGTTGAGGCTGCAGTAAGTCATGATCATGCCAGTGCACTCCAGCCTAGGTGACCGAGTGAGACCCTGTCTAAAAAATAAATAAATCACTTTTTAAAATGTTTCATTTGGACAGTTTCTAATGCTGTCTTCCAGTTCATGAATCTTTTTTTCCCTGCAATGTCTAACCTGCTGTTCTAGCCAGTGCATTATTTCTTTCAGACATTGTAATTTCTATCTCTTGATATCCAATTTGGGCTTTTTTAATATCTTCTATATCTGTAAAGAACTTTTGAACGTATGGAGTACATTATAATAGTGGTTTTAATGTTCTTACCTACTTATTCTAACTTCTGGGCCCATTTCAGTTGAATGATTTTTATCCTCACGATGTGCCCTATTTTCCTGCTTGTTGCATATTTGGTGACTTTGTTATTGGATACTAGACAATGTCAGTATTACCTTGTCAGGCGCTCGTTACTTTTGTGTGCCAGTAAATATTCAAAAATTTGAGAATGCAGTGACGTTACGTGGAAGCAGCTCGATCCTTTCAGGTTTTGCTTTTAAAATTTCTCAGGTGGGGCCAGAACAGTGTTTAACCGTCTGTTCCCCACAGTTGACGTAACACCCTTCTCAGTGCTCTCCCCAGTGTTCCTTCAATTATGAGGTTTTTCTGGCAGGAACAACGCCTTGTCAAGCCCTGTGTGAGTCCCCAGAACTCAGGCACTATTTCCTTCAGTCCCTCCAGGTGGTTATTTCCCTGGCATTCTAGTCCATTCAGGCTGCAGTAATGGAGGACCATGGACTAGTGACTCAAAAATAACAAACACTTATTTCTCACAGTTCTGGAGGCTGGAAGTCCAAGATAATTTATTTTTATTCTTATTTATTTTTTGAGATGGAGTCTCGCTGTGCTGCCCAGACTGGAGTGCAATGGCATGATCTTGGCTCACTGCAACCTCTGCCTCCCGGGTTCAAGAGATTCTCCTGACTCAGCCTCCCAAGGAGCTGGGACTACAGGCGCCCACCACCACACCCGGCGAATTTTTTGTATATTTAGTAGAGACAGGGTTTCACCATGTTGGCAAAGCTGGTCTCTTAACACCTGAGCTCAGGTGATCTACCCGCCTCGGGCTCCCAAAGTGCTGGGATTGCTGGGATTACAGGCGTGAGCCACCGCGCCCGGCCAGTTTTTTGTATTTTTAGTAGAGACGGGGTTTCACCGTGTTGGTCAGGCTGATCTTGAACTCCTAACCTCGGGCGATCCGCCTGCCTCAGCCTCCCAAAGTGCAGGGTGAGCTATCGCGGCCGGCCCATAACTGCATTCTCAAAACAAAGCTCAGACTCTGCTCTCTCCTCTGCTCACGGAGTCCTCCCAGCTCCGCCTCAGTGTTCCCTCCCTGTCCCATGGCCTGGAAACTTGTAACAGGACCCTGCGGCAATTTTAGGGCTTTTCTTGATGTTTCCCATCCCTCAGGGATCACTTTCTTGTGAGAGTCTTGACTGCTGTTGTTTTCTTGTATTTGCTCTGGTTTTGGGGGGCCGTTGCAACAAGGAGAGCAAGTCCAGACTCTGTGACTCCACCGTGGTCGGAGTGGAAGCCCCCATAGGTAACATTCTAAAAATAACCACTGGATTTTCCTTTTGTAAAGGTTGGGTAAAATGCCTTCTTTTTTTTTGTTTTTTGTTTTTTGTTTTTTTTTTTTGAGACAGAGTCTCACTCTGTTGCCCAGGCTGGAGTGCAGTAGGTGCGATTCCAGCTCACTGCAACCTCCACCTCCCAGGTTCAAGTGATTCTCCTGCCTCAGCCTCCTGAAGAGCTGGGATTACAGGCGCCTACCACCATGCCTGGCTAATTTTTGTATCTTTAGTAGAGACGGGGTTTCACCGTGTTGGCCAGGCTGGTCTCAAACTCCTGACCTCAGGTGATCGCCTGCCTCAGCCTCCCGTAGTGCTGGGATCACAAGCATGAACGACGGCGCCCGGGGCCAACTTCTTGATAAAAGATCACCCCCAGGCTCATTGGCATGGGAGATCAAGCAGCTGAATCTCAAGGTACTTTGCACCCACCCAACAGTAACAGTCAGCGGTTGCCTGTGCTTGGGAAATGGGCTCAGGGGCACTAGAGGGCAGTGTTTGAGAGGAAAGAAGTCAGCACAGCAGCAGGGCCTGCCCCGGGGCAGACAGCCCACATGGTCAGGAAAAAGTGAGTGAACGGATGTTGTCCCCAGAACCCCTCCCTGAAATTGCAGTTGATTTTTATTCCCCACCTCAAGCCCACATATCCAAAGCTTCCTCTGAACGCTCCTTGCAGTGCACAAGATAGAAATGATTGACAGGCACGGAGCCGCGGCGGGCCCCACGCTGGACACCAGCATCTGGCACGGTGGGTCACCAAGCACCAACCTGATCTCCTCGGAGCCAGGTGTGTGTTGGGTCAGGATTTTTCCGTTTCAAAGGTAGTATGATCTCTACTCCACAGGGCACACGGCACCCTCAGTGCTCAGCACAGCAGTGGGCAGCAGCCTGGTGAGCTTTTCTGCAGGGAAGTGTGTGAACGTTCACGCCGAGCGGGGTCAGTCACGTCTGTGAGTCATCTCCCACCAACACAGGTCAGGTTTTCCCACCCAATGAGCTTGGGGATGGCTTCACTTCGAAGCTCTTTGGATCTGTGGATTCTGGAATTTTGGATTTGTGATACCCATTTGATCAAAGAGGCAACCAAAGGCCGGACGCGGTGGCTCACGCCTGTAATCTCAACACTTGGGGAGGCCGAGGCGGGAGGATCATGAGGTCAGGAGATCGAGACCATCCTGACTAACACAGTGAAACCCTGTCTCTACTAAAAATACAAAAAAAAAAAAATTAGCCGGGCGTGGTGGCGGGCGCCTGTAGTCCCAGCTACTCGGGAGTCTGAGGCAGGAGAATGGTGTGAACCTGGGAGGCGGAGCTTGCAGTAAGCCAAGATTGTGCCACTCACTCCAGCCTGGGCAACAGAGCGAGACTCCGTCTCAAAAAAAAAAAAAAAGAGGCAACCAAGGTCTAATGGGTCAAGTGACTTTCCACATCCGTGAAGGTCATGAGAAGCAGGACCAGGATGGTGGCCCAGCAGTGTCTTCAAGGATAAGCTGGGCCCTTCACCGTGCAGGCCCCTCTCCGTTGGTCCACTCTGCCACTGCTGTCTGCCACACCCTGCCCTGATATCTCCTCTCTGCCAGGTTTTTCCCTCACGTCCTCAACTCAGCCAAGAGCTGGTTTCTTCCAGAAAGAGCCCTGCTGTCAGGTGATTTATCGGACTTCTCTTTTTTTGGATGTTTGTTTTCAGGGTTTAGCTGATCAAAGTGGTATCGTTGTAACAGGCAGCTCTAAATATAAGTTTTCAGAGGCCTGTGTGTCTTTTTCTGTAAATCAATTCCCAAAAGCAGGATTGTTGGGGCATGGGGTGTATGCAGTTTTGATCTGATCACATACAAGCACATTTTTTTTTTAAGGGATAGTGGCAGTTTGCAGCCTCAGAAGTGTTTTGAGTGCCTGTTCCTCCAGATCCTTGCCCGCCCAGGACGTCAGCACTCTTGTTAATTTTATTGTATCTGGGTAGTGAAAAAGAGTAGTCTCTCATTCTTTCAAACTGCATTTCCCAGTTATTAGAGTTTGAATCTTTTTGTCTGTTTACTGATGTTGGAATTTTTACTTTATTGAATATTCATCTCAGTCGATTACTTTTAAATGGGTTGTCTTTTTCTTAGTTTATGAAAGCTTTTGTAGATTATATCTGTTAAGAATATATTTAGATTATATCTTTTAAGAATAATATATTTCTGCATCACAACTTTTAACACACATGCACACACACACACACACTCTCACACTCTCTCTCACTGTTCCCCAGTCTATCAATTTGCCATTTGACTTTACGGCATTTTTTTCAATCTATAATTTGTCAAATAAGCTATCTTTTCCTTTCTGGTTTTATGATCTCTTGCTGAAACTCCTCCCTCCCCACTTTCCCTACCCAGTTATACAACATGCAGACAACATACAAATATTCTCCTAATTTCTCTCTTTTTTTTCCCCCCCCAGAGATGGAGTCTCACTCGGTCACCCAGGCTGGAGTGCAGTGGGTGCAACTTCCACCTCCTGGGTTCAAGCAATTCTCCTGCCTCAGCCTCCCGAGTAGCTGGGGTTACAGGCTTGTACCACCCCGCCCAGCTAATTTTTTTTTTTTTTAAGTAGAGATGGGGTTTCACTGTGTTGGCCACTCTGCTTTCAAACTCCTGGCCTCAAGGGATCCACCCATCTTGGCCTCCCAAACTGCTAGGATTACAGTCATGAGCCACCGCAGCCAGCCTCTCTCTGTTTTTTGTCTTTTTTTTTTTTTTTTTAAGAGACAGGGTCTTGCTCTGTTACCCAGGCTGGAGTGCAGTGGCACGATCACAGCTCACTGCAGCCTCGAAACGAGCTCAAGCCAGGAGCCCGAGCCTCCCGCGTAGCTGGCACCACAGGCATGCACCACCATACCCACCCTCCTAATTTCTCCTGAAATTCTGTGCCTTTACTTGTACACATCCAGATCTTCCACCCATCTTATCTATAGAAGGTTTTGGCCAGATGGAGAGCCGATATGTCACTACTGCTGCTAAACCAACCGTCCTTTCCACACTGACTTGAAATCTGTCTTCTGTCATGCGTGTATATATATATATATACACACACACACACACACACACACACACACTTAGATCTATTTCTAGGCCATCTATTCTGTGCCAGAGATGTCTGTGTCTTCCTATGTCAGAACACATGTATTACTTTTAGAATCAGAAGAAAGGGTTCTTTTTGTTTTTTGATTTTTTTTTTTTTTTAAAAACCATGTCTTTGGAGCCCCTGCTGAGCCTGGACAGGCACAGAAATTCCTGGTGGCTGGGAGGCCAGGGGAGAGAGGACAGCAGGGAGGATGTCACAGCCCCGAATCAAGGGAGAGGAGAAATAAGGAGGGCTCAGCTGCTTGTAAAATAGTCTTCCCTTTTATTTTCAATCAACCCTTTTCCAAGTTAGTGCCACGAGTTGAGATCAGGGGGTCAGAGCCCACTGGGATGTGGCGGGGGCAGCAGGGGGACTCATGTCCCCCGCCCCCAGCTCAGTCCCTCCAAGGATGGGACCGGCAGCCAGGGATGAAGGGTGTGAGGCTGTCTGCCCCCTCCCCTGCCAGCCCTACTCCCTAGTCTGCCCCCTCAGCTACTCCCAAGGCCAAGGACAGGGAGGCGGTCCTGTGCGGGCTGTCCGTGCCAAGAGTGTTAGTGGTCAGAGCCCAGGCAGGCTGGGTTAGTGGGGTCTCCTCCGGCAGCCAGGGAAGGAACTGCGGAGAGAGGGAGAGATGGGGCAGTGATGCAGGTGGGAGGGCCTGCCCCGTGTGATCCACCCAGCAGGAAGCACGCAGCCCATGCCTGGAGCAGCTCAGAGGGCAGGAGGAGAGGGCAGAGGCTAGGCTGTAGGAGCTGGGGGTGTCCCTTGGAAGCTCACCGAAGAGGGGAGCCAGGGTCCAGTCCGGCAGGGAGGAGGGGCTCAGATAGACGACTGCCACTGCACAAAGCGCTTGGATTCCTGCTGGAAGATTCAGGGGAGAGGAGGGAATGGAGTGGGAATTGGTTTTGTACTGTGGGAGCCCTGCCCCTCCTCCCTCAGACCCAGGAGTCCAGGACCCCAGCCCCTCCTCCCTCAGGCCCGAGTCCAGGCCCCCAGCCCCTCCTCCCTCAGGCCCGAGTCCAGGCCCCCAGCCCCTCCTCCCTTAGACTCAGGAGTCCAGGCCCCCAGCCCCTCCTCCCTAAGACCCAGGAGTCCAGACCCCCAGCCCCTCCTCCCTCAGACCCAGGAGTCCAGACCCCCAATCCCTCCTCCCTCAGACCCAGGAGTCCAGACCCCAGTCCCTTCTCCCTCAGACCCAGGAGTCCAGACCCCCAGTCCCTCCTCCCTCAGACCCAGGAGTGCAGGCCCAGCCCCTCCTCCCTCAGACCCAGGAGTCCAGGCCCCCAGCCCCTCCTCCCTCAGACCCAGGAGCCCAGGCCCCCAGCCCCTCCTCTCTCAGACCCAGGAGTCCAGACCCCCAGCCCCTCCTCCCTCAGACCCAGGAGTCCAGGCCCAGCCCCTCCTCCCTCAGACCCAGGAGCCCAGACTCCCAGCCCCTCCTCCCTCAGACCCAGGAGTCCAGGCCCAGCCCCTCCTCCCTCAGACCCAGGAGTCCAGGCCCCAGCCTCCTCCTCCCTCAGACCCAGGAGTCCAGGCCCCCAGCCCCTCCTCCCTCAGACCCAGGAGTCCAGGTCCCCAGTCCCTCCTCCCTCAGACCCGGGAGTCCAGGCCCAGCCCCTCCTCCCTCAGACCCAGGAGTCCAGGTCCCCAGCCCCTCCTCCCTCAGACCCAGGAGTCCAGACCCCAGTCACTCCTCCCTCAGACCCAGGAGCCCAGGCCCCCAGCCCCTCCTCCCTAAGACCCAGGAGTCCAGACCCCCAGCCCCTCCTCCCTCAGACCCAGGAGTCCAGGCCCAGCCCCTCCTCCCTCAGACCCAGGCGTCCAGGCCCCCGGCCCCTCCTCCCTCAGACCCAGGAGTCCAGGTCCCCAAACCCTCCTCCCTCAGACCCAGGCGTCCAGACCCCCAGCCCCTCCTCCCTCAGACCCGGGAGTCCAGGCCCCCAGCCCCTCCTCCCTCAGACCCAGGAGTCCAGGCCCCCAGTCCCTCCTCCCTCAGACCCGGGAGTCCAGACCCAGCCCCTCCTCCCTCAGACCCGGGAGTCCAGATCCCCGGCCCCTCCTCCCTCAGACCCAGGAGTCCAGGCCCCCGGCCCCTCCTCCCTCAGACCCAGGAGTCCAGGCCCAGCCCCTCCTCCCTCAGACCCGGGAGTCCAGGCCCCCAGCCCCTCCTCCCTCAGACCCAGGCGTCCAGACCCCCAGCCCCTCCTCCCTCAGACCCGGGAGTCCAGGCCCAGCCCCTCCTCCCCCAGCCCCTCCTCCCTCAGACCCTCCTCCCTCAGACCCGGGCGTCCAGTACCTGCGGGTTGAAAGGGTCGTCATCGTCTGTGTCATCGTAGTCGTCACTGGGGTTTGATGCGGGGCATGGCAGAGAGGCGGGATGGGGACCCATCAGGAGGCTGCACCCCCCACCCCAACCACGGTCCCCAGGTGCTGCCCCCGCTCCCCAGGACCCTGCCCTCCCCCGCTCCTGACCTGGGTGGGAAGAGGGCCCAGGCGCGGGGCAGGCTGCAGAGCGCGGTGGCCAGTGCTCCCGCGGACAGCAGGGAGAAGAGCAGCAGGAAGAGCAGGCCTTCCAGGGCGTCTTCGCACAGGCCCCGCAGGGCTGCGCCGTAGTCCTGAGGGGAGGGCGTCATCGGGCCGTGCCCCCACCCCCTCCCCCACCAGCACACACTGTGCACACCAGTCTGGCTGTCCTCCCAGCTGTGGTACTGCACACGTCAGCCGACTGCTCTGTGACTCAGTTTCCCCTGTCAAAGGGCGGTTCTGAGAATACGGTGGGGTCGTTGGTGTGATAGGCCTGGCACTCAGGAATTAATTGCACAGACTCCAGACTTGGCGTCTCCTGAGCTGCACACCCCCCCCCAACCCCGTGTCATTGCAGGTCCCCATCTCCCTTTCACATGGATCCTTCCCCACCAGCACCCCACATCCAGAACCGGTCCAGCATCTCCCACCAGCCCTGGGCCCTCTCCTCCATCTTCATCTGCCCCGGAACCTGAGAACTGCCCCTCCTGTTTCCCTTCTGCGTCCCGGCAGCGGCACCCCCTGCAGAAGCATCCTCTCCTGTACCAGGCGCCCGCAGGCCAGCCACCGCCAGCTCCGCCTTGGCCCAGGGGTGAGGGCTTCATAACCTGGGCCCTGCTGACATTTTGAGCCAGATCATTCTCTGTGGTGACGGCACTGCCCTGTGTGTTGTGGGGTGCTGAGCAGCACCGCTCAGTTCCACCCACCAGATGCCAGGAGGACCCCCTCCCGCGGTGTGGCAACCAACAGCAACTCTGCACCCAGTCAAGTGTCCATGGGGGCTACAGCACATGGAACGGCATGTAAAAGAACCAACCAGTGGCTCAGGATGACACCACACATACAATACACACTCAACACGCCAACAAATGCTGGCTCTGATGACTGTCATCCCAAGAAATCAGCAGAAACGGCCTTCACCGAATGCTAAGCACCTGCACAGCCTAATGCACTCAGTGGGGGTTGACAGAGCCTGCTCCGCCCCGGGCGCTGCCCCCACTACCAGGAAACTTCGGTAAACAGGACAGAGAAGGTCATCTCAGAGGGTGGTGTGTGCAACGAGGTAGGAGGGCGAGGGTCAGTGCAGGGTGGGAGTAGGTCAGGTGACCCCACCAGCAGGGATGGGTCCTCCAGGAAGGAGCCAGGCAGAGGGCTGTGCAGAGGAAGCTGGGAAGGGCTGAGGCCAGAGGCAGACATATCCAGGACTGACCACCCAGGCCCTTGTAGGTCAGGGCGAGGAGCAGGGATTTTAATCCGTGTCCAGGGGGAATCACCAAGGGTTTTAAGCAGAGGAAGAACTTGATCGGATTGTGTTTTAAAAGGATCACCCGGCTGGCTGGCTGCTGCATGCAGGACAGACGGGGGTAGGCGAGGGGGGACAGGGAAGAGGCCCCTGCAGTCATGGCGTTTAGGATGCGGGGACCCGGGCACAGTGGTGGAGGTAGGAACAGTGGTGGGAGTCCAGATAGGTTTCAGAGGAAGGGCCAACAGAACTTGTTCCGAGAATGGTTGTGGGAGGTAAGAGCAGGGAGCTGGTTGTGGGAGGCATGAGCCTGAGTTTCTGGCAGGAACACCTGGTTGAGGTGGGGTGTCTGTTACTAAGCCAGTGAGGGCAGGGGTAGGGACCTGTCACGGCAATGGAGGCTCTGTTTTGAGAGTATTGGTACATGCACACTGTCCTTCATCCTCACAACAGCCCTGCCAGGCAGACACTGACCCCCACACGCTGCTGCCTTTTGCAATGGTGGAAAGAAGTTGCAGCCCAGAGAGGGCAAGCTACTTGTCCGGAGTCACACAGTCTGGAAAGGGCAGAAGTGAGATGGAGCTGATTCACTTAGGCTCCGGCGCACACCCTCCTTCCTCCTCATCCCTGATGTCCCTTATTGTTGTTTTTTTTTTTTTTTTTTAATGTTAAAATAGAGATGGGGTTTCACCATGTTGGCCAGGCTGGTCTTGAACTCCTGAGCTCAAGGAGTTCTGATCTGCCCCACTGGGCCTCCCAAAGTGCTGGGATTATAGGCACAAGGCACCCATGCCCAGCCCCCTCTATTTTTTTTTTTTTTTCTTTGAGATGGATGATCGCTCTGTCACCCAGGCTGGAGTGCAGTGGCATGATCTCAGCTCACTGCAACCTCCACCACCACGGTTCAAGCAATTCTCGTGCCTCAGCCTCCTAAGTAGCTGGGAATGCAGGGGTGCGCCACCACGCCTGGCTAGTTTTTCTGTATTTTTAGTAGAGATGGGATTTCGCCATGTTGGCCAGGCGGTTCTCAAACTCCTGACCTCCAGGTGATCCACCCACCTTGGTCTCCCAAAATGCTGGGATTAGGGGCATGAGCCACAGTGCCCGGCCTGGCTGCTTATTCTTGGTTTTTAATCTGTGAGGACCCTGATGCCCTGACAGGGGAGATGGAGGCCCAGGTTCTCATGGTGCAGCTGTAGGGGAGGGTAGAGTGATCTGTCCTCCTCCTTCCCTTCCCTCCCTCCACGAAGGAGTCTGGGGGCCTGTATTCCAGTTTCTGCCTAGGCCACAGAAAAGTGCCTGGACCCCAGTTTATCCTTATGCAAAAGATCAGGGCAGCCCTGGGCTGGGTGGGGGCCCAACCTTTCCCAGCTCAATAGTCGGCAATTCTGAACATGGCTTCAGTGCTTGCTCCCCACTCCCTTTACGGAATGCCAATTTCAGAAGGGTGGGGGGCAGTGGGAGCCACAGAAGGGGTCCGTCTGAGCCAGACCAGGGAAAGCTCAGGTCCAGGTATGGTGTAGATGAATCCCTTTTGGGTAGGGTTGCCAGATCAAATTCAGGACTTCCAGTTCAATTTCAATATCAGATGCCCATAAGGATAAACCGGGGTCCAGGCAGTTTTCTGTGGCCTAGGCAGAAACTGGGCTGGAATACAGGCCCCCCGGACCCCTTTGTGGAGGGAGGGAAGGGAAGGAGGAGGACAGATACATAATTTTCTAGGGTAAGTATCTCCCCAGCATTGCACCGGGCATACTTATAGCAGAGTGGTTTGCTGTTTGCTGAATCTGGCAGCCCTATTCTAGGGTCCATGGGGGGACAGATGGGGAAGGGACCATGCTTCCTTCTCCAGGAGAGAGAACGAGGCCTCAGCCGCAGTAGGGGCATTGGGCATTGAGAGTAGATGGATAAAGGCATTCCAGAAGCAGAAAGGACAAGACTGGGCAACTGCCTGGCTGTGGGGGGCAGAGGGTGGGGCCCTCCAGAAGGTCCCTCTCTCTTCAGTGTGCACGGGCTGGCTGGCCGTGGGACCTTGGGAAAGTCCCTCAACTCTGCACCTCATCTTCTAAGTCTGTTCAGTGGGATAAGGGATAATCATAGTTCCTTCCTCATAGCATTGTTATGAGTCATCGATGAGTTACCACCTGTGAAACGCAACAGGGTCAGGTACTTGGTGAAGCTATGCACATGTGCGGTCTTTGATGGGCAGACTGGCCGGGGAAAGGCATCCTCGGGTGTGTTTTCGAACAGCTCTCACTGGTGTTGTTTGTTTGTTTGTGACAGAGTTTCGCTCTTGTCGCCCAGGCTGGAGTTCAGTGGCACAATCTCGGCTCACTGCAACCTCCGCCTCATGGGTTCAAGTAATTCTCCTGCCTCAGCCTCCCGAGTAGTTGGGATTATAGGTGCGTGCCACCACCGCGCCTGGCTAACTTTTTGTATTTTTAGTAGAGACGGGGTTTCACCATGTTGGCCAGGCTGGTCTTGAACTCCTGACCTCAGGTGATCCGCCCGCCTCGGCCTCTGAAAGTGCTGGGATTACAGGTGTGAGCCTCTGCGCCCGGTCAGCTCCTACTGTTTTATAAGTGAATTTTTTTTTTTCGATCCTCACGACCATCCAGTAAAAAAAAATAAAATAAAATAACACTCGTCCTTCCTGACGGTAGGGGTGGGAAGCAGAGTCAGCCAGGCTCACCTGCCTGTGGCCACGCAGCCTACAGCAAAACCCAAGCTGGAGTCTGCAGGACACCAGATATCTTTCCTCCTGGGCACCCTGTCCGCCCCTGCCTGTCCAGTGTATGAACAGCATACGCCCCAGGGGAGCTGGACAGGTGCCCACTCTTGCAATCCCAGTTTTATAAGTGAGGGAACTAACTGAGGTACAGAGAAGTTAGGTGACTTGCCCTTGGTCAAGAGCTAGGACTGGAACCCAGGCAGTCTTATTCCTGAACTCACTGAGCGGCAGCCTCTAGGAGGGAGGGAGAGGCAGGAGGAAGGAGAGAGGAGAGAAGACAAGGAAGGAAAAGGTGGCAGAAATGGACGGGGAGGGTGGGATGGGGACCCAGGGAGGAGTGCGGGAGTTGGAGGGGGGAAAGGGAGGGAGGAGGGAAGGAATGTGGATAATGCTTGATAGGTAGGTAGACGACAGGCAGAGAATAGATATAGGACAGATAAATCATATAAACAGGATACAGAGATATCCTCAGGCGCAATGGCAGGGGTCCAAGGAGAGGAAGGAGCTAGTTCTGTGGGTCGAGGCAGAGGCTCCCAAGCCTCCCCGTGGGAGAAGAAATTGGGAAGGGGAAGGGGGTTCACCTTGTGCAGGCCACGGCAGTGCAGCAGTGCCACCAACTGGTGAAAGTTTCCTTCTGTCACATTCAGAGTCTCCTCCAAGGACAGCAGAGGCTTCTGCAGGGCGAGGACAGGTCGTTTTCCCACCCACTCGTCAGGCTCGCCCAGTGCCCTGGCCCCGCCCACAAGATAGGGCCCCGCCCAGCTCTGCGGCCCCGCCCACAACCCAGAGCCCCGCCCACACACGGCCAAGGGGTCCGGTTCTCTGGGTTCTACCTACGCCCCACAGCTCCACCGCGCCCCTCCCGCCTTCCCCTTGGGGTCCACGTGTCTGGGGCGCGCCCACCCACCGACCTGCGCTGAAGGGAACTGAGGCACAGCTTCTCTCTCCAGGCCCAGCAGCTGGGAGTGGATGTTGGCCAGAGCTCGCTGGGACAGAGTCAGCCTCTGCAGAAAGAGAAAGGGAGGGAGGAGGACCCAGGAGTCGACGCCCCCGGCCCTCTTTCCTCTCCTCCGGACACAGCACTCGGGCCCCTGGCCTGCATCCTCCCCGGAACCCAGGAGTCCAGGCCCCAGCCCCAGCCCCTCCCCCTCCCTTCAGAGTCCAGATTTCTGGTTCCCTCAACACCCCTTTCCCTTGCCCGCAGCCCTAACCTGTTGGAAGGGGTTGGAGACGGCCTGGTTGCAGAGGAAATAATAGCTCAGGATGTCTGAAGTGGGAGGAGGAGAGGGGAGGAGGCCATGAGCCTGGGCCCCCAGGGACCTCCCGGGGGAAGGCCGGGGACTGGGGGGTTAGCAGGGTTAGGGGCCTCAGCCCAGCTCTGGAGGCCTCCTGGAGCCAGATGGCCTTACCTTCAGAGACCCGCCAGCCCCGCGTCCCTTCTGCTCCTGCCACAGCCAGAGCAGGCGCTGGTGCACATCCCTGTACTCCCTGGGAAACCCTGACTTACTGGTGCTCCCCAGTTTTCTCCAGGGGGCGAAAGCCCCCATTCCTGACGCCCAGAAGCACCCTTTCCTGACCCTCCTCTCTCTTCCTGGCACCAGCGTATTAATCCCGCCCTCTTTTCCAGCGCACCAGGACAGGCGCTGCCAGCTGGAGCGGAAGGGATGAGGGTCTGGGCGGTGGCGGGGCTCCAGGAGGGCTCCGAGCTGGGGAGTGGCCAGGAGCCCTGCTTCCCTTCCAGAGGGCTGGGTCTCGCCTGGCGGGCTGTACCCCCACCCCACCCTGGGCAGGACCGGGCACAGAGGAGGCCTCAGGAAGCCAGGGCCTGCACTGCCCAAACCGGCGGACCCACCGGGCCCTTGGAAATCACCTGAGCTGAGCCCTGTCTCCTCCTGGGTCAGGTTCAGAACATAAGGGTCTGGATTGGAGCAGAAGTCACTGAGGCCCTGTGTGAGGCAGCAGAAAAGGGGCTCAAACCTGAAACTGCCCCAATTCCACATTTCCACAGCACGCAGTGCCTGGCTCCCCGGCTCCCCTCCGCACCCAGGGTTCCAGGTCCCAGCCCTTCCTCCCTCAGACTCAGGAGTCCAGGTCCCAGCCCCTCCTCCCTCAGACTCAGGAGTCCAGGCCCCAGGCCCCTCCTCCCTCAGACCCAGGGGTCCAGACTCCCCAGCCCTTTCTCCCTCAGACCCAGGAGTCTAGGCCCCCAGCCTCTCCTCCCTCGCACCCAGGAGTCCAGACCCCCAGCCCCTCCTCACTCGTTCCTAGGAATCCAGGCTTCCAGCCCCTCCTCCATTACAGCCTAAGCGTCCAGGACACCAACCTGTACCCACTCAGGACCCAGAAAACCAGCCCTAAACCTCAGAGCTGTGATCGTGCCCCCCAATTCCTTTCTCTGCTAAGCCATGCCATCCCAGGATCCAGAAGTTGAAATCTCCAGGCCCCCAATGGCCCAGCCCCGGCACTCACCACAGCCGTGGCTGCCTCCAGGCCCATGGAGCCCCAGCTCAGGACAAGAACCAGGAGACTCATGACCGTCATCCTAGAGTGGGGGAGGGAGGATCAGCCTGGGGTTCTTAATCTCCTAGCCTAGCCTCTTTCCACACCCCAAATCCCATCACAGCCGCCCCCCCTACCCACACCCACCTCTGGAGCCTGGAGGATCAGAATTAGGGACACAGAAGTTCGGTGGTGGGGGGTGGGCCGGTGGCTGCTGACGTCCAGCTGGACATCTGGCTCCTGCCCAGATGAGCAGGGTGTGGGGTATGAGCAGGGCCCTGGGCTAGGGGGTCGTGGCTTGGATCCCAGCTCCAGGACCCTGAGACGGTGACTGCTCACCTCTGGGCTCACTTCCCCTGAAGGTTCCCAAGTCCACCCACAGCCTGGTCAGCCTCTGGCTCTGCCCTGTCTCCTCTGAGAATGGGAGACAGTTCCAGGGCTGAAATCTGAAAGTCTCTGGACTTTCCAGGTGGGGAGGGTTGCAGGGGGCGTGTCAGCACTGGTAGGGTGACCAACAAGCAGGAAGGGCACCCAGGGGTCCCCAAACTGAAGGCCTGGCCTCCAGTCCCAGACTTGCCCCGTGTTGGCTAGGTTTACCTGTCTGCAAACCTTCGCAGGGTCTCTCCCACTCTCTCAGGGACAATGGAGGCACGAGTTCAACTCCGCCCCACCCCACCAGGGCCAGAGAGGATGCAGGGACTCCTCCAATGGGAATGGCCTGCCTGGTTCAAATCCCAGCTCTGGCACTTCTAGCTGTGTGGCCCTGAGCAAGTGGCCCAGCCTCTCTGATCTTCAGTCTCTCCCTCTGTTAAACAGGGGGAAGGGCCGGGTGTGGTAGCTTGTGCCTATAAACCCAGCACTTTGGAAGGCTGAGGCAGGCAGATCACTTGAGGCCAGGAGATCGAGACCAGCCTGGGCAACATAGCGAGACTCCATCTCTACAAAAATATGCAAAACTTAGGCCAGGCGCGGTGGCTCATGCCTGTAATCCCAACACTTTGGTAGGCAGAGGCGGGCGGATCACCTTAGGTCAGGCGTTCGAGACCATCCTGACCAACATGGAGAAACCCCGTCTCTACTAAAAATACAAACTTAGCCAGATATGGTGGCACATGCCTGTAATCCCAGCTACTTGGGAGGCAGAGGCAGGAGACTCGCCTGAACCCAGGAGGCAGAGGTTGCAGTGAGCCGAGATCGCACCACTGCACTCCAGCCTGGGCAGTAAGAGCTAAACTCCATCTCAAAAAAGAACTTAGCCGGGAGTGGTGGCATGAGCCTATGGTCCCAGCTACTCTGGAGGCTGAGGTGGGGGGATCACTTGAGCCTCAGGGGACAGAGGCGCAGTGAGCCGAGATCGTGCCACTGCACTCCAGCCTGGGCAACAAAGCAAGACCTTCTCAAAATAAAAAACAAAAATAGGCCAGGCGCGGTAGCTCAAGCCTGTAATCCCAGCACTTTGGGAGGCTGAGGTGGGCGGATCACGAGGTCAGGAGATCGAGACCATCCTGGCTAACACGGTGAAACCTCGCCTCTACTAAAAAACACAAAAAACTAGCCAGACGAGGTGGCGGGTGCCTGTAGTCCCAGCTACTCAGGAGGCTGAGGCAGGAGAATGGCGTGAACCCGGGAGGCGAAGCTTGCAGTGAGCTGAGATCCGGCCACTGCACTCCAGCCCGGGCGACAGAGCGAGACTCCGTCTCAAAAAAAACAAAAAACAAAACAAAAAACAAAAATAAAAAACAGGGAGGAGGAAGCACCTTCCTCACAGGGTGGGCATGAGGCACTCCAGGGAGTACAGAAAAGAGTGTCGGGCGCGTAGAGCGATCTGTGAAATAAGCGTGGTCCTGCGGCTCTGCCACGACACTTAAGGGCCACTCAGCCTCGGACTTGGCCACCACCCTCTGCCTCAGGTCCCTGACCGGCCACATGGAGTCTTATGGTAACTCCTTTATCTGAAGGAATCAGCATGCATGACCCTCAATAGATCATCATCCTCATCTTTTTTTTTTTTTTTTTTTTTTTTGCACTCTGTCGCCCAGGCTGGAGTGCAATGGTGTGATCTCGGCTCACCGCAACCTCCACCCCCCGGGTTCAAGCAATTCTCCTGCCTCAGCCTCCTGAATATCTGGGACTGCAGGCGCACATACCACCAAACCCGGCTAATTTTTGTATTTTTAGTAGAGACGGGGTTTCTCCATGTTGGTCAGGCTGGTCTCGAACTCCTGACCTCATGATCCACCCAGCTCGGCCTCCCAAAGTGCTGGGACTACAGGCGTGGGCCACAGCGCCTGGTCTCATCCTCATGTTTATTGCAAACACAATGATTATTTCTGCCATGATTCCAGCATACTTCATACTGTGAGGGCTGCCTGTTTTCAGGTCTGTCTCTGCCTCCCTCCTGGGCTACTCTGACTCTCTTTTCTTCGTGTGTACCCAGCCCTGAAGGACCACCGTCCTCCGTGTAGGACAGTTGTAAGACTGAGGTCCTGCCTGCCAGGAGAGTGCCAGGCACGCACTGGGGAACCCCTACTGCCTACACTTACACGATCACCAGCCACTTGCTCTGCTTCGCCAGGCCCAGGAGGGTGAAGAGGCAGACCAGCAGCTCCAGGAGCAGCAAGAGGACATAGGCCAGCCACCTGGGAGGGGAGATGGTAGGGCTGAAACCACAAACCTGCCTCCAGGCACCCCGGCAGAACAGCAACCCCGCCACCAACGTTCACCGAGATGGTAGGGCTGAAACCACAAACCTGCCTCCAGGCACCCTGGCGGAACAGCAACCCCGCCACCAACGTTCACCCCGCACCCCCAGCTCAGCCTCACATTCACTACCCTCCAAGCTCAGCCTCCTGCTATTTACTGTGTCTGGGCCACAGCCCAGCTCATCTGTGAAATGGGCTCATCAGGAGATGGGTCACTGGAGAGTTTTAGAATACAGGTCCTGAGCACCTGGGACTATCCCCTGGCTGGGCCGCACACACATGCCCTGGACCAGGGACATGTGATGTGTCCTCTCCGAGCTCCCCATCCCCGACCACGCCCTGCAGAGTGGAGATATTCCTTCTCAGACTGCACCAAGGATCCCATCGCATCCCCTGAGGGCATGACATCTGGAGGCAGAGGCTGCCTGGTCTCAATCCCAGCCCCTCCGCTTAACCGGCCGGGTAACTCTGTCTGGGTAACCTTAGCCTCTCGTTCCTCAGTTTCCCCACCTGCAACGTGGGGAGCACAGCACCACTGGCTTGAGAATGTTGCCTCAAGTGGGATGCGTGACTAGAAGTGCTTAAGAGAGTGCCAGGCGCGTGGACACACTTAGAGGTTAGCCTGAACAGGAAAGAGGGAACTGAGATGTTATTTAATAGTTAATACTTGGCCAGGCGCAGTGTAATCCCTGCACTTTGGGAGGCTGAGGCGGGTGGATCACTTGAGGTCAGGAGTTTGAGACCAGCCTGGCCAACATGGTGAAACCCCGTCTACTAAAAATACAATTAGCGGGGTGTAGTGGTGCATGCCTGTAATCCCAGCTACTTGGGAGGCTGAGGCAGGAGAATCATTTGAATCCAGGAGGTGGAGGTTGCAGTGAGCCAAGATAGCGCCATTGCACTCCAGCCTGGGCAACAAGAGTGAGACTCAGCCTCAAAAACGAAAAAAAAAAAGTTAATACTTAAATATCTGCAAAGCGCCCACCACGATTCAGGAGGTGCAAGCACCCAAGCCACAGTGAGAGACAGGACCAGCTGGATTTCGTAGGCCCATCAAGAACCCCTAAGCCTAGCTGGGAAGGTGACCGCCTCCACCTTTAAACACGGGGCCTGCAAGTTAGTTCACACCTGACCAATCAGGTAGCAAAGAGAGCTCACTAAAATGCTAATTAGGCAAAAACAGGAAGTAAAGAAATAGCCAATCATCCATTGCCTGAGGGCACAGGGGGAGGGACAGTGATCGGGATATAAACCCCGGCATTCCAGCTTGCAACGGCTACCTGCTTTGGATCCCCTCCGTTTGTATGGGGGCTATTTTCACTCTATTAAATCTTGCAACTGCACACTCTTCTGGTCCATGTCTGTTATGGCTCGAGCTGAGTTTTACTCGCCGTCCACCACTGCTATTTGCCGCAGTCGCAGACCCGCCACTGACTTCCACTCCTCCGGATCCAGCAGGGTGTCTGCTGTGCTCCTGATCCAGCCAGGTGCCCATTGCTACCCCCAATCGGGCTAAAGGCTTGCCTTTGTTCCTGCACTGCTCAGTGCCTGGGTTCGTCCTAATCGAGCTGAACGCTAGTCGCTGGGTTCCACGGTTCTCTTCCATGACCCATGGCTTCTAATAGAGCTATAACACTCACCGCATGGCCCAAGATCCCATTCCTTGGAATCCGTGAGGCCAAGAACCACAGGTCAGAGAACAAGAGGCTTGCGGCTACCTTGGAAGGAGCCCACCACCATCTATGGAGTTCTGGGAGGAAGGACCCCCCCCCCGGGAACAACAGTGCAGTGCCCGGCACATAGTAAGTGCCCAGTTAATCCTGCCATTCTCTGCAGGCCCCACAAGCTTGGGCTTCACTCCTTACCCTCATCTCTGGCTGCTTCCCCCCCAGCCTCACAAGTGCCGCCTGCTGCAAGACTCCCTTGAGGGCCCCTGATTTGTCTCTCGAGGGACTCCCAAGTGTGGGGTGCTTTCGCAGTGGTGCACCCGGAATATACCCTGGCGTCACCCTCATGGCTACCCCCACTTCCCTGCCCTCCCCCAGGAGGAGGAGCTGAGGCCCGGCTTGTGTGGCCCCTGGGCCTGACCACAGTGCAGGACCTGGATTTCCGCAAACTTAGGCCTGTCTGTCTGTTGCATCTGCTGCCCTGCAGGTGTGTCTTGACCTCCAGCTTTTTCAGCCCCAGTCTGCCTTCCCCACTCCCGGAAGGTCTCCCGAATCTCAGCCCATGCCCCGCAGGCAGGGCCCCCAGCTGACGTCGCATGAATGAATGAATGAATGAATGAATGAATGAATGATTACTAATGGTCAAAGCGATGAGGATGCCATCATGGTGGCCGTTGGGAAGGGTGGCTGCCTGGACACTGCACAGCCCCCTGCCTCCTCTTCTCCAAATGCCACCTTCTCAGTCCCCCTGATGAACTGCCAGACTCTGTTCCACCTCATCTCCCTCTATAATTTTCTTTTTTTCTTTCTCTTTTTTTTTTTTTTTTGAGACGGAGTCTCGCTCTGTCGCCCAGGCTGGAGTGCAGTGGCGCGATCTCGGCTCACTGCAAGCTCCGCCTCCTGGGTTTACGCCATTCTCCTGCCTCAGCCTCCTGAGTAGCTGGGACTACAGGCGCCCGCCACCGCGCCCGGCTAATTTTTTGTATTTTTAGTAGAGACGGGGTTTCACCGTGGTCTCCATCTCCTGACCTTGTGATCCGCCCGCCTCGGCCTCCCAAAGTGCTGGGATTACAGGCGTGAGCCACCGCGCCCGGCCTCTTTTTTTTTTTTTTGAGACAGAGTCTCACTCCACTACTCAGGCTGGAGGGCAGTGGCACAATCTCCGCTCACTGCAAGCTCCGCCTCCCGGGTTCACGCCATTCTCCTGCCTCAGCCTCCTGAGTAGCTGGGACTACAGGTGCCCGCCACCACGCTTGGCTAAGTTTTGTATTTTTAGTAGAGACGGAGTTTCACCGTGTTAGCCAGGATGGTCTCCATCTCTTGACCTCGTGATCCTCCCACCTCGGCCTCCCAAAGTGCTGGGATTACAGGCGTGAGCCACCGCGCCCGGCCCCCTCTGTAATTTTCTCCAAAGTTCTCATGGCCCAACACCTTACAGACGGTTTTGCTCTGCATTTGTCCCTTGCTGGCGCCCCCTAGAGGACGCAGCCACGTGGCAGGGATTTCTGCCACTTGCTCACTGCCCTGCCCCACTACCTGGGCGGCTGCACTTCCCGTGCACCTCTGCGGTGCTCTCCCTGTGCCAATCGCCCTTCTCAGCACTCAGATGCCAACTCAACAGTTCACAACAATTTAACAAGGGGGACGCTGCCCCGATTCCCATTTCACAGATGGGGCCTGCAAAGTAACTTGATTGCAGCCGCGTGGTTAGGGAGGGGCTGGCTGGCTTTCAAGTGCAGGTTCCTAACCTGTAGGTCCGCTGCCTCTTTCGCCAGAGGGTGCTAAATAAATGGTGCGGAACAACACTTTGGGAGGCCTAGGAGGGCAGATCACAAGGTCAGGAGTTCGAGACCAGCCTGGCCAACATGGTGAAACCCCATCTCTACTAAGAATACAAAAATTAGCCGGGCGTGGTGGCGCATGCCTGTAATGCCAGCTACTCCCGAGGCTGAGGCAGGAGAATCGCTTGAATCCGGGAGGCGGAGGTTGCAGTGAGCTGAGATCGTGCCGTTGCACTCCAGCCTGGGCAACAGAGCGAGACTCCATCTCAAAAAAAAAAAAATAGTGCTGAAAAAATGCACGTGTCACACGGATGAACGGGTGAGTGAGTGACCTGCTGGGTTAGTTCAGGAGTGACTGAGTCCAAGAGTGACTTGCTGAATGAGTGAGTCAAGGAATGAATGCATGTGTGAATAAGTGAGTGGGGTGATGATGGAGGGGGTGGGTGAGTAAATGGGCGAGGACATGGGTGTCAGGATGGCCATGGGGTCCTATGATCTGTCCCTCCACAGCAGGGTTTATCGACCTCATCATATTTTTATTTTTTTGAGGTGGAGTCTCACTCTATTGCCCAGCCTAGAGTGCAATGGCAAAATCTCGGCTCACCACAACCTCCACCTCCCGGGTTCAAGGGATTTTCCTGCCTCAGCCTCTTGAGTAGCTGGGATTACAGACGTCTGCTACCACACCTGGCAAATTTTTGTATTTTTAGTAGAGTCGGGGTTTCACCCTGTTGGCCGGGCTGGTCTCAAACTCCTGACCTCAGGTGATTCACCCACCTCAGCCTCCCACAGTGCTGGGATTGCAGGCCTGAGCCACTGAGCCTTGCCAGCCTCATCATAATTGACATGGTGGCTGGATCATTCCCTGCCGATGGGTGGGGAGGGGGGTCCTGTGCCTTGCAGGGTGTTGAACAGTCCCTGGGCCCTACCCACTGGAGGCCAGAAGGTGCACACCCCCCCTCCCACCGGCTGTCACAACCAAAACTGTCTCCAGACATGGCCAACTGTGCCCCCGGGGACTCTGTCTGAGAGCTGCTGGCACTGAGAGCAAGAGCAGCAGCAGCAGCCTCTCACCTGTATTCCTCCACGAAGGACACATCTTCAGCCACCTGCAGGGGGCTCAGGGGCACTCCCTGCCAGAAGGCCAGCCCCTGTAGCTGCTGGGCCACCGCCTCTGCCTGCCGCCGAGCCCCTCGGGCAGCAGCCACCAGCTCTGTGCGAGGCTCGAGCACCTCCTCCAGGGTGGTCAGCTCTGTCCTCACTGCCTCACCCAGCCTCTCCACCGTCTCCAACACCTGGGGACAGGACAGGGGCTGAGGTCTGGGAAGGACATCCTTGGGGGAGCCCGTGGTCAAGGCCCGGGGTTTTAGAGGTGAAGGAGGGGTGCACAGTAGCGGGTGTCTGAGATCTGGAGTCTGGGACATCTGAGGATTGAGGAAGGGAAGGGGTTGGGGAGGGGCTCCAACATCAAGTTCATGGAGTTCTGTGGCCTCTATCCAGAGCTCTGGGCGGTTGGTAGCTTGAGCCCAGGGTAGTGAGTCCAGCCCCAGGACTGAGATTAAGTCTGGAGCTTTAGGTCTGAAGTTTTCATCTGCCTTCCAGAATCTGGGGTCTCAAGTCTGGGTCCCATGGTCTGGGGTCTGCAGCTGGACATGGAATCTAAGGCCGGAGGTGGGGCCAGGCCTCAGCCCCAGGGCCCAGAATCCTGGAGCTGAGGTCAGAGCTGAAGCCTCAAGTCGGGGACCTGGGCCTCAGGGCGGGGGTCCCTGAGCTTGCTTATGGGCCAACAATCAGATCTGGGGCCCTGGATCTGGCCCGAGGACAGGGGCTGGCGTCCCCGGTAGTTGGTTTCTGTGTGGTTTGGGGGTTTCAGGTAAGGTCCAGGGCTGGGCCCGGGTGTGAGGTCCTCAATTTGCAGCCAGGGTAGGGGGTTGGGTGGACAGTCTGAGGTCCGTGGGTCTCAGGATGAAGTTCCGAATCTGGGGTCCTAAGCTTCAAGCCTGGGGTCTTAGCTCTGAGTTTGGATCCCTTTGTCCTTGGGTGTGGGGAGCCCATCCGGGTGTGGGTCTGGGGTCCCACTGGTCGCTGGCCCCTCACCAGGTGGTCAATGGCGCTGAGTGTGTGGTTGGCGTGCAGCAGCGCAGAGCTGAGCTGGGACACCCCATCACTGGTCTCACTGTTGCCATAGAAACCGATGCCAATGCCAATGCTGAGCGGAGGAGGAGGGAGAGGAATCTCAGCGGGTCCCAGGACCCCGGGGGCCACCGTCCCCTCCCACCCCATCCCCTCCACCCCGCCTTCTTATCCACCCCTCCCATCTCTCAGCCCCACCCCATTGGTCCAGCCCGTGGGAAAAGGGCGACTTCAGGCTGGCCCCCATCGGTTGCCAAGGTAACGGGAAGGCCTCACTCCCCCAGCGGAGGGACGTCATTGTGATGCTAATGGTGGGTGGAGTGGTAGGGGGGAGGGAGCCCCCGATTTAACTCGCACCTCCCTGGAGCAGAACCCCAGTCACACCCAGCTTCGGGATGGGCCGTCTTCCCCTCCCGATGACTGCCTGCCCCACACCCTTCCCCGCATCCTTTGCCAGGCAGGCAGCCCTCCTGGCACCTGTCCTAGGGTGCCCTAGGGTCCTTGGAGTCCGCAGCGTCAACCCCTTGTGCTGAGACGTCCCCCGCCCCCACCTGCTGGGGGTTCCTAAGGGTACGAGGGGGCAGCTGTCACCATCTCCTGGGGGGGACGCTGAGCCTGGAGCTCTCAGCCTTCCCCCACCCGGGACCCAAGCGTCTGGCCAGCTGGGAGGGAAGTAAGGGAATGTGGGAGGGAGGCTGGAGGATGGGCCAGAAGCCGTGCCCCCGCCCGGGCCCTGCCAACACACAGAGCTCCATTGTGGGGCCTGAATGTGGGGCCCCAGACCCCTCCCGTCCCCGCCCCCGGCCGGTGTCCCGCAGTGGAGGGGGCGGGAGCCTGACACCCTCACAGTTCCCAGCCCCGGCTGGGCCTCCACCCCCATCCCTCGGGTCGGACGCCCAGTGTCCCCGCCCCATTGTTTGGAGTCCTACAAAGCTCCTCTTGTTCCCAGTTCCCCCCAGGCTGCGGGGGCTGGGGCCGTGTCTCTCCCCCGCTGGGCCTTTGTCCACCTCCCCTGTCTCCCCCCACGCCAGAGAGCCAGAGGAGGAAGCGTCCTGGATACAGGGCACCCATACAGGTCCCTCCCCTTGCCCACTGTGGGTCTGGGGGCAGGCCGCTGGCCCTGTGGGACCGCCCCCCCGCCGTCTGTGGAAGAGGATAGCCGTCTGTAACTTGTGGGTGCTGCTGTGCTGGGGAGGGGGCTATGCTCAGAGCTTGCTCTTGGTAGGTGGTGTGTTCACATTGGAAGCCCCCTAAGCTCCCTTTGGGGGGTGTGACGGGATCCTACTAACCTGGGTCTGAATCTCCATGCTGCCTCTTAAGCCACGTGGCCTTGAAAGGTGACCTCCCCTCTGTCCCTGAGCCTTCCTCTTTGGAAACTGGGCCTGATACCCCTGAATCCAGCAGCATTATTGTGAGAAGGAATTAGACCAGCTCAGGTCTGGGCACAGATGAGGTGCTCTTGGAGGGTGAGTATCTATTTATCGTCTGTCTCCCTGATTAGAACATAAGCTGCATGAGGGGCTCCTTGCCTGGCTTGGTCAGTATAGTTGTCGAATGAATGAGCTGGTGAATGACGGAATGACAGACATCACCAGTTAACGTTGGCTGAGAGTAGCTGCAAGCCAGACACTGTGCTTTCTCTCCATCTTACCCCAGCAGGAGGTGGGCGAGACGGTAATACCCACTTTACAGAGGTAGACATTGAGGCCCAGGGAGACTATCACTCCCTTAGGTCACAGGGCTATTCAGTGGGAGAGCCACCAAAACCAAGCCATCTGACTGCCCTGCACCTTCTCACCAGATGGCTGCCCTTGATTCACTTCCTCTCCAGAACCTCACTTTCTCCATCCATCGAATGGAAGAGTCCTTCCTGCTGCGCGCTGAAGCGGGCTTGCAAATGGCGGGGAGAGGGATGAGGGAATTTTCTCCTTCCTGTCTGCTTCCTCCACGTCCCCGGAGGACACCCCCAGGAAGGCCAGCAGAGAGCTTGGGGAGCCCTGTCCCCACCGCCCACCCACCCTGGGGCCCCATTACCAGCCGGCGAGAAGGGCGACAATGCAGCTCCAGGTGACGCAGCCTCCTCCGGGCGAGGGGGTCTTGGACCCGGGAGGCTCGGGGGGCCGGCAGCAGCAGAAGCGGATGAGGTAGACAGCGATGAAAATGAGGCTCAGGCCCAAGCCCAGGCCCGCCAAGGCCGCCACCAGCAACAAGGCCTGGGGGAAGGGGGTGACATCAGGCCTCCGAGGGCACCAGCGTGTTCCACACTCAGATCCCCCTTCCTGCGTGGCTTGGGGGTCGGGGTCTGGGACGTCAGAGTGAAGGTGGGAGGCATCCCTGGCCTAATCTTGGGGGAGATTGGGGCCCAGCCCCTCCCAGGCTGGCAGCTGAGGTTCCAGGTGTCAGGGCCAGCTTGCTGGAGGGAGCTTCCAACTGGGGGCCCCAAGCCTTGGGTCGCAGTTCTGCTCTGCCCTCCAATGGCTGTGCAACCTTTAGCAGGAACCACCCCTTCTCCTAGCCTGGGTTTCCTCCTGCAGCCAGCAGTTGGAATGGAGCATTTCCCGAGGCCCCTCCACAATCGTGTGGGATCAGGCGGCCGGTGAGGGTGTGGGGGCACCTGTTCCTGGTGCCTCGGGCCAGGCTGGGGGAGGTGTGCTTCCTCCCCCTCTCCTCCCTGCTCACTGCCTCCCCTGCTGCTAAGCGCCACACCCCACTACGCCTGAGCTTGTCACCCAGAGACGGGGCGAGGGGCTGTGTGGCAACGTGTGTGTTTGTGTGTGTGTGTGTGTGTGTGTATGCAAGACTCAGAAATGGAAACTGGGAGAATGAAGACAGAACAGAGAGAGAGAGAGAGATGGAGGGAGGCGCAGGCAGAAAGACACAACCAAAAAAAGAGACAAAGATAAGACAAGGCTTGGGCATGAGTCTGAAAACGGCAGAGAGCAAAAGAGATCAAATCAGAGAGGAAGAGAGTAAGGGAGAGAGAGCGTGAGAACACTATAGAGCCAGGAGAGACACACAAGGACAGAGGCTGAGAGAGCCTCTCAGGCCCGGGAAGACAGAGGCAAGCAGTGGAAACATTCTGCGGTGGGGAAAGCCTTGCAGAATAACAGGGTGTCCACGTGGCGGGGATTTTACAGCTGACCTGTGCGGTCCCAGAGGCCCAGAGGACCACAGTGGCCCAGGGGGTTTGTACTGAGCCCTGGAGCTTGGAGGGACAACATTGGGATCAGAGTCACACTTCTGGACTTGCCAAGGCTGTTTCCCCTAAACCATGGTGTTTCTGCCTTTGTCCACACACACACACACACACACACACACACACACAGTGGCACAGTGGTGTGTGTGTGTCCTAAGTGTGTGCAGTGTTTGTGTTTCTGGTGTGAGACTGGATGTTTTTATCTTTGGGTTGTCTCCATGAGATGAGGATGCACCTGAGTGTGCCTCCTGGGTGCACTGGTGTCTGCAAATGAGAACATCTGTGGGCATTTGCGTGTTCTGGGCACAGTTCCTTGGGTCTGTGAGTGGGTCCAGTTGTGTGTGTGTAACAGTGTGGGTGAGTGTGTGTGGATGCGTGACTGCATGTGAGGGTGTGTGTGCACATGAATGTTAGAGTCAATATATGTGTGCGTGTGTGTGTATATGTGAATGTGAAATGTATAAATGTGTGTATGCATGTGTGTGTATATGGGAGTATAAACGTGTATGTGTAACTGTGCATGCATGAGTGTGTCAACATATATATATAAGTGCAGTGGGTGCTTGTATATGGGAGTAAATGCTTATGTGTGTATGTGAGCGTGTGTTGAGTCACTGTGTGCAGTGTGTGTGTGCATATGTGTGATTGTGTATGTGTAAGTGGGTCTAGCCATGTGAGTGTATGCATGTGTCTATATGCGCGTGTTGTATGTGGGTGTGAGTGCATAGTGGGAGTAGTAAATGGGTATATGTGTGTGTGCATATGTGTGTGCATGTGGTGTATAATGAGAGTAAGTGGGTGTGTGTGTGCCTGTGCAGATGTGTGTGAGTGTGTGCATGTGCGTAATGAGAGTAAGTGGGCGTGTGTGTGCCTGTGCAGATGTGAGTGTGTAATGGGAGTGTGTGCATGTGAGTGTGTAATGGGAGCGTGTGTGTGCCTGTGCATATGTGAGTGTGTACTGGGAGTAAGTGGGCGTGTCTGAGTGTGCCTGTGCATATGTGAGTGCATGTGTGTAATAAGATTAAGTGGATGTGTGTGTGTGCCTGTGCATATGTATGTGTGCAGGTGTGTAATGAAAGTAAGTGTGGGCATGTCTGAGTGTACCTGTGCATGTGTGTGAGTGCATGTGAGTGTGTAATGGGAGTAAGAGAGTGTGTGTGTAATGGGAGTAAGTGGGCGTGTCTGAGTGTGCCTATGCATATGTGAGTGTGTGCATATGAGTGTGCTGGCAGTAAGTGGGCGTGTGTGTGTGCCTGTGCATATGCGGGTGAGTGTGTGTGTGTGGCTGTGTACCTCCCCGCGGGCCAGTGTCCCAGAGGCCCTAGCTGTGTCTGCAGCTGTGCCCACGGTGGTCGCGTCCCTGGAGGGGTCCCCCTCTCCCCCCTCGGCTGTGGGGCTCTGCCTGCGCATCCCTGCCACCCTGACCCTGACCCCCGACCATGGGGGCGGAGTGAGGCTCCCCCAAACCCGTGCCTCTGGCGGTGACTGGGGCCGCGGATCCCCGCGTAAGGCTTCGGGAGGTCTCGGGGCCAGAGCGGGCGTGAGTCTGGGCCCAGGCCGGAGCCGGTGGAGCAGCGGGGTTGGAGGTGGCCGTTGTGTAATCGCGAGGCTGTGGGCGAGGGGACGGCGGTCCCCGTGTGTGGGGAGAGGGGGCGGGCGAGGAGCAGGCGGGGAAGAGCTGCTCAGGGCTGTGCCAGCCATGACCCAAATAGCTCAGAACACAGCACGCATCCCCTCCGCGCTTTTCTGGGACCCCCTCCACGCCCCCTGAGCTCTCCAATCCCAGCCCCCTTTTCCCAGGAGCAACCCAGGACAGCGCCCAGGGACTCAGGCCCCATCGGCAGGGCCAGGACCCGTCCTGGGGCCACATCGGGACTCCCTGCACCCCCACCCGTGCCCAGCTCTGCCGAGCCTTTCTCCTCATTAATCTCAAAGTCAAGGACTTGAATTAAACTGGGTCAGAGGACAGCTCTTTCGCCCGTTGGAGCTGCCCCGAGCTGGGTCCCTTCCCCAGGGACCCCGGCTTCTGTGAGGTTCCCACACCGGCCACACCTTCGGGACCCCGGTCTGTCATCCCGAGGCTCCCCAAACCCAGCCTCATCTCGGCCCTCACCCCTGCAGCGTCCTGACCACCCCTTCTTTTTTGGGACGGGCAGGAAGCTTTCTCTCCCAGCGCGCCTTCATTTTCCAGCCCTGGCACTCAGCCCCTTGAGCCCCCTTCCCCATTTCAGACTTTCAATCCCATCCCAGCACCCCAGAAGCCAGCGTTTTCCCCTCCACCGTTATCAGGTCCGCTGTCTCCTGGGTCCCCCCTTATCTGGGACATATTCACCTGCTCTGATCCTGTGGGGCTGGGTCATCTTTTAGGGCAGGGAGAGTAGACCTAACCTCCCGATGACCCCGGAGGCCAGCTTCCCAGGCAGGTATCAGACACCCGGGAATCCGGGCCCCCCCTCCCCTCCACTCCATGAACTCAGGGGTCCAGGCCCCCAGCCTTCCCTTATTGAGAGAGCTCGAGGTCTGGACCCCGAGCGAGCGCGCGTCCCGGGAGAACCTCCAGGTATGGAAGCCCCAGGCTCCTCCTCCCTTCACAACCCCAAAGTCCGGGCCGGCCCCCAGCCTCCGGGGGAGCTCAGGAGATCTGTGACCCAGCCCCCTCCTCCCTCGGGACCCAGGAGCTCCGGCCCCCAGCCCTGGCCCCCAGGCCCTGGCGCCCGGTCCCACCTGCTGGTATTCCTGCTCTTGGGGCGCGAAACCGCTGGGCACCGGGCGGAGCTGGAAGTCGGCGCGGGGCAGCTGGTGGAGGAGATGCACCCAAGCCGAGGGCCGGTAGCCCGGGGGCGCCCCCATGGCCCCCGGGGGAGGGGGCAGCGGGGCGGACGCCGGGGCTGCGGGAGCCTCCGGAGTCGAGCGGGGCGCGGGCGGCGCGGGGTCTGGCTGGGCTCAGGGGAGCGGGAGCGGGGGGGAGGCAGGGGGTGGGGGGCGGAGATTGGGGGGAGGGAGGCGCGGGCCGGGCGGGGACGGTGCTGCCCCTGGTGGTCGCGGCGGGGACTGCGGGAGTCAGGAGGCTCCGGCGCTCCGCTCCCCCCACCCGCCCCCACCGTGGTCGCGGCTCCCACCTGCTGCCCGCGCAGGTACCGCGCTGCTGGCGTCGGTGGCATCCGGAGAGCTGGTTTGCACCGCGATTGAAAACAGCCCTCCTTATCCATAAGAGGCCACTCATATTGTTATTTCACCCTAAAACCTAATGATCCCTTTATCCTTATGGAGAACCTTCATGTCTGCGTAAAGGTCGTTAGTAAGTACAGAGCGTTTTACAAAGAGCGGCCAGTTCCACGGATAA